ACATTCACTCACCTGTAGCATGTGACACAGTTCATGATGATGCCATACATTCACTCACCTGTAGCATGTGACACAGTTCATCATGATGTCATACATTCACACACCTGTAGCATGTGACACAGTTCATTATGTCATACATTCACTCACCTGTAGCATGTGACACAGTTCATCATGATGTCATACATTCACACACCTGTAGCATGTGACACAGTTCATCATGATGTCATACATTCACACACCTGTAGCATGTGACACAGTTCATCATGATGTCATACATTCACACACCTGTAGCATGTGACACAGTTTATCATGATGTCATACATTCACTCACCTGTAGCATGTGACACAGTTCATTATGTCATACATTCACACACCTGTAGCATGTGACACAGTTCATTATGTCATACATTCACACACCTGTAGCATGTGACACAGTTCATCATTATGTCATACATTCACACACCTGTAGCATGTGACACAGTTCATTATGTCATACATTCACTCACCTGTAGCATGTGACACAGTTCATTGTCATACATTCACACACCTGTAGCATGTGACACAGTTCATGATGATGTCATACATTCACTCACCTGTAGCATGTGACACAGTTCATCATGATGTCACACATTCACTCACCTGTAGCATGTGACACAGTTCATGATGATGCCATACATTCACTCACCTGTAGCATGTGACACAGTTCATGATGATGTCATACATTCACTCACCTGTAGCATGTGACACAGTTCATGATGATGTCATACATTCACACACCTGTAGCATGTGACACAGTTCATGATGTCATACATTCACTCACCTGTAGCATGTGACACAGTTCATCATGATGTCATACATTCACACACCTGTAGCATGTGACACAGTTCATGATGATGTCATACATTCACTCACCTGTAGCATGTGACACAGTTCATGATGATGTCATACATTCACACACCTGTAGCATGTGACAGTTCATCATGATGTCATACATTCACACACCTGTAGCATGTGACACAGTTCATGATGTCATACATTCACACACCTGTAGCATGTGACACAGTTCATGATGTCATACATTCACACACCTGTAGCATGTGACACAGTTCATCATGATGTCATACATTCACACACCTGTAGCATGTGACACAGTTTATCATGATGTCATACATTCACTCACCTGTAGCATGTGACACAGTTCATCATGATGTCATACATTCACTCACCTGTAGCATGTGACACAGTTCATTATGTCATACATTCACACACCTGTAGCATGTGACACAGTTCATTATGTCATACATTCACACACCTGTAGCATGTGACACAGTTCATTATGTCATACATTCACACACCTGTAGCATGTGACACAGTTCATTATGTCATACATTCACTCACCTGTAGCATGTGACACAGTTTATTATGTCATACATTCACTCACCTGTAGCATGTGACACAGTTCATTATGTCATACATTCACTCACCTGCAGCATTATGATGTCATGATGTTACACAGTGAACATATTTACAGCACTAATATCTACATGTGTCCTGTGACCTTTGACCTGCAGGTCAGTTCACCCTCAGAGACATGTACGAACAGTTTCAGAACATCATGAAGATGGGACCCTTCGGACAGATCATGGTAAGATCACCTGACTGAGTCATCTGACAGGATGTGTGCTACATGCTATATGTTGGTGGGGTTGAGCAGTTTAGAACGTGTGCAGATTTGCATGCAATGAATGTTTGTTAAAAACAATAAATGACCCGGTATCAGGTGAGTAGGACTTTTATTTGTTGAATGGTCAAAAATATATTGACTGACTGATTTTTACTTGAATCATACTAGAGTTTAAACTCTGGTATCATGTCAACCTTACAAAGATGGTGACTATACAAAGATCTTTGCAACTTGAGGCTCTGACACATTTTTCAAAGACTGTTTCAAAAAACGTCAGCAGACGAGTCACAAGTCAAAACTCAAAGTCTGGTGGAAGATTCTATTTTAACTTCTGACTCTCTCTCTGTCTCTCTCTGTACCTCTCTCTCCCCCCTCTCTCTGTACCTCTCTCTCCCCCCCCTCTGTCTCTCTCTGTACCTCTCTCTCCCCCCCTCTCTGTCTCTCTCTCTCTCTGTCTCTCTCTCTCTCTCTCTCTCTCTCTCTCTCTCTCTCTCTCTCTCTCTCTCTCTCTCTCTCTCTCTCTTCGTGGTGCATTCAGGGGATGATTCCAGGCTTCGGCACAGACTTCATGAGTAAAGGAAATGAACAGGAGTCGATGGCCAGACTGAAGAAACTGATGACCATCATGGACAGCATGAACGACCAGGGTAACACACACACCCATGATTGTCCCGCAGCATTTCATTGGCTGTCAGACATGTTCAGGTCTATATAAGGTCTCTGCCTCTGTTCGTGTGTTTCCCGCCTCATGGTGTGTGTCGTCCTCTCAGAGCTCGACAGTAAAGACGGAGCCAAACTGTTCAGTAAGCAGCCCAACAGGATCCAGAGGGTCGCCCGGGGGTCAGGGGTCGCCACCAGAGACGTCCAGGAGCTGCTCACACAGTACACCAAGTTCGCCCAGATGGTGAAGAAGATGGGCGGCATCAAGGGACTCTTTAAAGGTAGACACGGGGGGGGGGGGCTGAGGGCTGAGGGCCTGAGGGACTGAGATCTGGACGGGTCTCCAACCTTTTCTCTTCTGAAGGCTTGCTTCATGTCCTCTCTTACTTTAGTCACATTACGGATCTAAACTAACGAACCAGCTGAATGAAACTACTCTGACTCTTATAGTCCCTGAGTAATGTCTCGAACACGCCTCTCCCGCTCCTTCACCATCCCGCCATCGCTGATTGGCTTCTTGTCCTGTGTTAGGTTGTAAGTCACTTTCAAAGATGTCTTTGTTTCTGGTTCAGCTCTTAAGTTTGTAGTGTGCTGACTGCAGGGACACCAGGAGCCTACCTACGTACGCTTGTCGTGCACCTCCTCAAAAATGTTACTTCACATTAAAAGACGCTATGATGCTACCCAGCGGACCAATGAAAGACCGCCGTCTGTGATTGGTCCGCTGGGTATCATCGTATTTCAACCATTTACAACATTTATTGTGTTCAAACTTCTGCAGAAGGAGAAATATCAGAACGCCATTTTTCACCTCCGACTAAATACACACTGGTTCAGTCGCCATGGTTACACATGTTGAACAAACAAACAGAGAACGAGGCAAAATCAGAAACTGGCGATGTAACGTGTGTGTGTGTGTAATTCTTGTGTGTTTTGTGTTCCAGGAGGTGACATGTCGAAGAACGTGAACCCATCTCAGATGGCCAAACTGAACCAGCAGATGGCCAAGATGATGGACCCTCGAGTCCTGCACCACATGGGTGAGCCCTGGTAGCCTGTCAGCACACCTGTTTGTGTTCAGGTGAGATGTTCTCCCTGAGTTTGTCTGAATACATTTCTCTGTGTGGTCACTTTAAGGCGGGATGGCGGGACTTCAGTCGATGATGCGTCAGTTCCAGCAGGGAGCCGCCGGAAACATGAAAGGCATGATGGGATTCAACAACATGTGACCCCCGACCAACCAGCTGCCTTAACACGTAAAAACTACAAATTAAAGCCCGCCTCCTGACAGCTCCAGGTGGAGGTGGGCGGGCCTGAGAGAGAGAGAGAGAGAGAGAGAGAGAGAGAGAGAGAGAGAAAGAGAGGACAGGAAGTGTAGAGAGGTGAAATAAAAGCGGGATGTTTGATTCTTTTTGTTGTTGTCGTCTTCTGCTGCTTCTCACAGGAAAATAAAGATTTTGAAAAACACCAGAAACAGAGAAACGATGATTTAAAGGAGCAGGATGACATTTTAGGCTGCTGCTTCTTCTTCTGGTAAAAGAATACCGGACTGCTCCTTTAAATGAGGAGGAGGAGGAGGAGCTGGTTGTTTTATTTGGGGCCTCGTTAACTTTATTCTGTAAAAGATGTTTGTGTATAAGATGTAAACAGAGCAGAGAGTCTGTCCCTATTGGACAAGGAGATGCCACGACGATGATGATGATGATGGTGATGAAGATAACATTAGTTAGTGACAGTATTTTTGTCATATAATAAACATTTGTATTGCACCATTTTAAACCTGATGTGTTTTTATTACACAGATCCTCTATTCAAACAGATGTTCGAGTGAAGCTCAGCTGAACTTAAAAAGAAAAACTTCAAAAACAAAATAAGAAGGAACTTTATTTAATAACTTCAGACTCAAATTTACGCCTTTGACTTCCTGTGTTTTCATTTTAAACTCCAGGATTGTTTAAGTTTCTTTATTTGAAATATTTCAGCAGTTTGAAAGTTTCTCTGTTTAAAGTTTTTAAGAGCAGTGGGCGAGGCTCGGCCAAAGATCCTCTGACGGTGAGATGACACACTGAAATGAAAAATTAATCTGCAGACGTTCATGTGTGTCACCTCACAGGTGTTCACAGATTATGATGTTGACCTCAGGTAAACTCAGATAAATGAGGCGGTCAGACGGGGAGGAGGATACAGGAGATACAGTTTATAATTTACAGCGTTAAATGTAGAACATCAAAAATTAAATGACAATGCATGTAACGGGTGCCTTTATTTATTTATGTTTTATTGACACTTAAAGCATACACAACATAATAATATCGCAGAGGTTAAACATACAAACAGCTCGCAACAAAATGAAGAAGGAAAAAGGGTTAGTTAATCATAAGACTGGTGGGTGGTACATAAAAATGTTTTAAACGATTTTCATAAATTTAACCTCAGGTACATAAAATGAGACAAAATCAAGAACGTAAAGATTCAATTAAGAAGAGCCAGAAATCAAAACAGCTTTGGTCCGATCTTTCTAACAATCCTGTTTGAGCTCATTTCTTCAGAGATAACACAAAACCGTCCTCCTGGTCCCTCACAAACAGAAACCTCGGCGTCACATTCCTCAGCAGCGCAGAGTTCCAGAATATTTGCTCGGAGTGAGACATCTTCGCGTTTCTCCTGTCTGTGTCTTGACGTGGCGCCGGGCCGCCGCCATGTTGTTTTGCTTCGTTGTCAGCAGAGAGGAGCAGCAGCGGCAGCAGAGCGGAGGTGAGTGACACATTTACCTACATACAGAGACTTACCTGGACCCGACACACCTCCAACTTCACCTGGACTCAGTCAGCTCACCTGTCCGTCCGTCCTGTACCTGTCGGCGGTGTGATGTTCATGACGCAGCAGTTTATCTGCTCGGTTAGCAGCTGTTAGCTCCGAGGCTAACTGACCTGATACATTCTGTTTGTTTTGTTTATGTCGGAGTTAAAAAAAAATAAAACTTCAGGTTCAAGTGAGACTCTGACACATGTTCACCTTACCTGTGTGTGTCAGAGATGTACCTGCTGACGTCAGAGTGTCGCAGGGAAAAGAGCAGGCTGGACTTTAAATGTCAAAGTTAAAGATTAACAGTCATCTGATTAACGAGCAGCTCTGATTGATTATGACTGATGACGTCATTCTGTCTACTAAAACAAGATTTGTTAATTCCATGTGTGAGGTCATCTTTATTCATTTACTGCAGCTCTACAGTGACGTGCAGGTGTCCTGTGAGGTACCTGAGGTTGAAACATTAGTGGTCCTGTCCCTTTAAATGATCAGTGTCACTTTAACCTTCAGATTTCTGATAATGAGTTAATAACAGCTGATGAGTTTCTGTAAATGTGCAGAAAATTGAACGGGGTTTGGTTGGCGGTTCTCAGAGGAGACGCAGTGATGATGGAGAGCTGTTTGAGTTTTGATCAGACTGAATCTGATAAGAAAGATTTGATTACTAAATATCCTGATGGAGGTTTTCAGGGTTCACTCAGAGCTGCATCCAGGATCAGAGAAACGCGACTCCACCTCCTCTAGATGAGCCCCACCCAGCTGACAGACCACCAACCAAACCCTGTGCAAAGTCTGACGTATTTTAAAGCAGCGCTCATCTTTCTACCTTATCCATCCTTTAATTCTTTAATGCTTTAAGTGTGTTCAACATTATATATCTGAACTTCTTTAAAACGCTGCTCTGCAGACAGGAACCCAGCAGCAGGTACTGTTGGTGTGAAATCAGCAGGATTGAGGTTTAGTTTGCAGTTTAGTCTGAGGTCATGATTCTCTCAGAGAGAGAGAGAGAGAGAGCGCTAGTGTCACAGAGAGTTTCTGCAGGAGTCTGACCTTGTCCCCACTGGCCCCCCTTTCCTGCAGCTATTTCCTGATAGTGTGTCCGAACCCCCCCGTCTCCCAGCGTTGTCATGGCGACCTTCCCAGAGTACATCGCTTCGAACGAGGAGCGTGACGGTGTGCGGTTCAGCTGGAACGTGTGGCCTTCGTCCCGACTGGAGGCGACCCGGATGGTGGTCCCTGTGGCGTCTCTGTTCACGCCGCTGAAGGAGAGACCAGACCTGCCCCCGATCCAGTACGAACCAGTCCTCTGCAGCCGGGCCACCTGCCGTGCGGTGCTCAACCCGCTATGGTACGCATCACTGCACACACCTGGTGATGTCATAGACACGGGCAGAAAAAGGTTATAAGGTTACTCACCTGTCTCATTTTCACCTGTGTGTGTGTGTTACAGTCAGGTGGACTACAGAGCCAAACTGTGGGCGTGTAACTTCTGCTACCAGAGGAACCAGGTATACACACACACACACACACACACACACAGAGCTCATATCAAAGTATCACAATGTTTACACCCCTGGGTTAGTATCAGAGTGTGTGTTTGTGTTTCAGTTTCCTCCGTCCTACGCCGGGATCTCTGAGGTGAACCAACCAGCAGAGCTGCTGCCTCAGTTCTCCACCATCGAGTACGTGGTCCAGGTAAGACCTAATGACAGCTACACACCAACAAACAGGAACACATACACATACCACAGTAAGTGTAACTCACTGTGGTGTGTGTGTGTCCTCAGCGGGGTCCTCAGATGCCGCTGGTCTTCTTGTACGTGGTGGACACCTGTATGGAGGACGAGGACCTGCAGGCCCTGAAGGAGTCCCTGCAGATGTCTCTGTCCCTGCTGCCTCCCACGGCGCTCGTCGGCCTCATCACCTTCGGACGCATGGTTCAGGTCCATGAGCTCGGCTGTGAGGGGATCTCCAAGAGCTACGTGTTCAGAGGGACCAAAGACCTCAACGCCAAACAGTTGCAGGTACCAGACCCAGACCAGAACCAATGCACAGAAATGTTTCACTACAGAACTTTTGGGGAGTTTTCAGGAGTTTAGTGAAAACAGCTCCTGTTACTTATATTTTTAATTTACAGTTTCAACTCGTTTGTGATTTTCAGGAGATGCTCGGTCTGATGAAACCTTCAGCTGCTCAGGGACGAGGACCTCAAGCTGCCCCCCAGCCCCTGTCCAACAGGTACACATGTCTCTCTATCCTTGTGAGGACCCTGGTGACACTACAGAATCTGGCTCCTGTGATGATCTGGGATCTGAGTTTTTTTTCCTCAGAGACTGAGTCCTCTCTCACGGTCTGGAGTTTGTTCTCTCTACAGATTCCTTCAGCCGGTGCAGAAGATCGACATGAACCTGACTGACCTGTTGGGGGAGCTGCAGCGCGACCCCTGGCCCGTCACACAGGGGAAGAGGCCTCTGCGCTCGCTGGGTGTGGCCATGTCCATCGCTGTGGGGCTGCTGGAGGTAAGGGGGGTTTAGATTCATGAGCGTTGCTCGTTCCATGTACAGAGACTGTCGTCCTCAAAGCAGACAGCCCAGATTCACGTCTGACCTCTGACTCCTGTAATGTCCCTCTCTCTCTCCCTGCTCTCCCACTCTACCCCTCAGTGCACATTTCCAAACACGGGCGCTCGCATCATGACGTTCATCGGCGGCCCGGCCACGCAGGGGCCCGGCATGGTAGTGGGAGATGAACTGAAGACCCCCATCAGGTCCTGGCATGACCTCGAGAAGGACAACGCCAAGTTCATGAAGAAAGCCACCAAGGTGAGAGAGAAGTCGCTGAAATCTGTCGGCTTGCATGAAGCCGGAATAACAGGACACTGAAATTGTGTGTGTGTGTGTGTGTGTGTGTGTGTGTGTGTGTGTGTGTGTGTGTGTGTGTGTGTGTGTGTGTGTGTGTGTGTGTGTGTGTGTGTGTGTGTGTGTGTGTGTGTGTGTGTGTGTGTGTGTGTGTGTGTGTGTGTGTGTGTGTGTGTGTGTGTGTGTGTGTGTGTGTGTGTGTGTGTGTGTGTGTGTGTGTGTGTGTGTGTGTGTGTGTGTGTGTGTGTGTGTGTGTGTGTGTGTGTGTGTGTGTGTGTGTGTGTGTGTGTGTGTGTGTGTGTGTGTGTGTGTGTGTGTGGTAGCATTATGAGTCTCTAGCTAACAGAGCGTCCACTAACGGTCACATCATCGACATCTACGCCTGCGCTCTCGATCAGACCGGCCTGCTGGAGATGAAGTGCTGCTCCAACCATACAGGGTACACAAACATGCACACACACACACCACACGCTTTGAAGAGGCTTTAAAGTAAAGTGTTGAAGTATTTTCAGCATGTTGAAAAGAGAAATGTTAAGACTGAACGTGTCTTCACCTGACGTGATTGTGTGTTTGTGTCTTGCGCTCTCTGCAGAGGTTACATGGTGATGGCCGACTCCTTCAACACGTCTCTGTTCAAACAAACCTTCCAGAGAGTTTTCACCAAAGACGTGCAGGGCTCCTTTAAGATGGCCTTCGCGGCCACGCTGGAGGTCAAGGTACTAAATCAGCTGATCACCTGATCAATGACTGAATGTTTCATAGAGAGATCGTTTAGAAGCAGGTGTGTCCACCAGAGGGCGCTGGCAGGCTTAGATCCATTCCTGTCGTCTTTACTTTGATTTTGACTTTACTTCTTTTGATCCTTTTGTTATCAGAAGTTTAAATGTGCCGCACTGACACTGTGTGTCCTCAGGTGAACTGTCTTACTAACACCCACAGGCCCACCTGGCTCACCTGTCTGACAGGTGAATGATCTCACTGTTGTGTGTGTGTGTTTTTAATCAGACCTCCAGAGAGATCAAAGTATCAGGAGCCATCGGACCCTGTGTGTCTCTGAGCGCTAAAGGACCATGTGTGTCTGAGAACGTAAGCACCGCACACACACACACACACACGCATGTATGCACACACACGCATGTATGCACACACACGCACATAGACCCACACGCATGCACACACACACACACACACACACACACACACACACACACCAGAGAATTTGAACCTTGATATGATTCTAGTAAAATCAAACTCTATAGATTCCTGTTTGAAGTCTTAGACGCCTGATATGAGATCATTTATAGTAAAAATTAAAAGAAAAACTCCGGCACGTTGCCTAGACTGTTTTTAGAGACGTGATATTAAAAAGAATCACTAACCTTGGACCCCGGTGTTGTACGACACTTCTTCTTCTGTGTTTCAGGAGATCGGCACAGGAGGAACGAGTCAGTGGAAGATCTGCGGTCTGGATCCCAGCACCACGCTGGCTCTTTACTTCGAGGTCGTGAACCAGGTAAGAACACTGTGGTGGTTTGAAGCTGCTGATTGGTCGATGTTATGATAACTGCTGCTGTGTTTAAATTACACTTCCACACTTAAAGAGGGCTTCGTTAAAATAAGCAGGTACAGTGAAATCATACTTAAAGAAACTAATTGTGAGCGTCATGCTGCAGAGACACCAACAGGGGGAGACAGAGAGCTGTGCTGGTTCAACTCTATAAGAGCAGCAGCTGAGGTTACAGATATTCAGGTGGAAGTTTGTTGGTGCAGACATCAAACCTGAGCACAGGTGAGTTCATGTTGAAACAGCAGCTCCACCATACCTGCTGAGGTTCACGAGATGTTTACTCCTTACATCATCCAGTCTGCAGCATTTGTTCTTTATGAAAGAAGAGTTCGCTGTAAAACCTCAAAGCTCACCAGCTGGATTTGTCCAGTCAGAAATATCGCATTACCTTTAGTATAAGTCACACTCACCTGACGAGTCACAAGTCCAGAGAAACTTCAGATTACAGGAAGAAAAGCCAAAAATATCTACAAAGCCTGATGTGCTCCTTTTTTTTTTAAGATTTATTTTTGGGATTTTTGTGCCTTTATAGTAGAGATAGGACTGTGGATAGAGTCGGAAATCAGGGAGAGAGAGAGTGGAATGACATGCGGGAAAGGAGCCACAGGCTGGATTTGAGCCCAGGCCGCCCACAAAAGCCTGATCTGCTTTTAATGAAGTTGCTGACCAGACTCGTCAGGTGTATGTGACACCTGGTAAGGTTTGGGTTTTTATAAATATGCACAGATCGGGGAAATCTGATACCGGTGTTAGTTTCCTGACTCCCACAATGCACCACGTTCTCTCATGTTTGACACAAGAATGAGTCAGAGTTTTTCCAACAGGGGACTTCATCTGATAGAAAACCTCTTCTCTGAATCAGTCGTTAGGGGAACTAGAGGTCAGCATCAAACAGTAGCTGAGTCTGTAGGGACCTGGGATAGGAACCGGAGGGGTGCTGATTCAAGTCCCAAAATACTTGGTCTGGTGGCTGGAACGCTGTCAGGGCGTCTCCCGAGTACTGCCGAGCCGCCATTGAGCAAGGCACCAAACCCAACAGCTCTGGCGTGCAGCTCCACTGTGACATCTCTGAATTAATGCATGTCCACAGGTCCTGTGTGCATGATGTGTGTGTGTTTTAGGCCAATGTGTGTAAAATAAGTAAAGAATTAAATCATCTTTGCCACAAAAATAATCATCAGATCACCCCGCATTATTCTCCAATGATCTGATGTTAGTCTACAGGGCGGATATCGGCTGATACAGATGTTAAACTGGTGCGTAGTAGTTCTGCTGATGAAAACAAAGAAGATCATTTAGGCAGAGTCTCTGAACACGACGTCTTTATTATGATATTATTATTTTACAGCCTGAAGTCCAGCTCTTTGAATGAAACATCGGAAACACTTTGACTGAAACACTCTTTTTGCCGACTCGTTAAATCCTCCCACAAAAATGTCACATAGAAAAACAAACCATCTTCATGTGGAGTCCGAACCGTCGGATATATGTGTCACAGTGACATTTAAAATATTTCACCCTGACTCTTGGAGATAGCGTTTCTGCTTCCAAAAATCGCTGTGAATGAAAGCTCTGCGATAGGTGGAATGTATTTAGGTCATATGAAAATAGAAATGGAAAAGCTGAACTACATTTCCCATACTGCAGTGCATCACAGGTGTGTCTGTCACAGGTGGGTCTGGGGATAGTCTCTGTCTGTGGGCTAAGTGATGATGAGGAGGTTGAGCTCACATCCGGTGATCACGGTGGTGTTGTAGTTTCTGGTGAGGATGGCGGGCAGGATGCTGCTGTAGTCCTCGTGGTTGTGCTGATGCGATTGGCTGTGTCCAGGTGGAGGGCGGCGCTCTGGGGGCGGGACTCCAGAGGTGTCTCAGAACACAGGAACATTGAAATAAATCTGCTGATAAGGCGACGCACGGCTGCCCGGTACCTGCTGGAGATAGAAGTTTCTGTTTTACTCCTGCTCTACATCTCTTACTTGAGCTGTGATGTCCTACAGGTGTCACTTACGTCTGGGTCATACAGGTGATCCAAGGGTTGAGGGCGGAGCTGGTCAGAACCAGCCAGGCGGAGAGGGCAGAGGTCACAGCAGGACTCTGTTCACCACTGAATGTCTCGTACAGACACACTGAGATGTAGGGCAACCAGCACACCAACAAACACACTGAAACACACACACAGCAGACTGTGAGCACACACACGGGTATACATGACCACGCTGTCAGAACAACCTGAGGACCGACCTGCACACGTTCAGAGATGAGATGGTCTCATCTGACGAGTTACATCAACAAGTTACAAAGATCTATAAACCAGCTATTGAGGTTTGAGTACTGTGTGGAAGGTCTGACAGCTAGTTGCCAGATGAGTTGCTGAGTTTTGGGGACTAGTTGCTGCAGAGGTGGGACTAGCTTAGTCTTTGAAACTTTTAACAAGTTGCTGAAGTCTGAGGACAAATTGGGGAGATCAACTTTCAAGGTCTTAAAACTTGCAGCAGACTTCTCTTGGACTAGAAGCAGCTAAGGATCATGGGTATTGTAGTTCTTGTAGCCGTCCACTGAACAGACAGAAACATTCTGACTTCTTTGAAACAAGATTGAATTAAGTGACTCTAATGGTAAAAACCTCACTCCTGTCGCCTGTGCTACTCCGTCTAAAAGCTGCGGCAGAGACCTTCAACCCTCCCCGTGGTTATGACATCAAAAATGACCAAATTGAGCCTAATGACAGTGAATCATGGCTGTAAATATAGAAGCTGAACCTCAGAGACAATCAGAGTGACCTTCAGATGTCCTTCTGCTCATCGGCTCATTCTGTAGCTCAGAGTTTCTCTCACACACATCATGTCTCTCTCTTCCTGTTGTCATGGCAACGGTTCCACCGTGTGTGTATTTGTGTGTGTTTTACGAGCGTGTTCACCGTGTTTGCACACTGACAGTTTGGCAGTAATCCTGACAGATTAACGGTAAACCCATCAGGCGTTTGAAACAGTTTGTGGCTCCTGTCCCTGATTTGAATCCTGCGGTGTTCCCAGAGTTTCCTCTGCACACACGAAGACATCTTGATTCTTTAAATGAAGATTTTTATGAAGCTCAAATCTAAATCACAGCTACAAACACACTAATGTTAAGGATGTCTGAAAACATGAAGGGGGTCGGTGTAAACTCTTAATTTGTCACATCTTACATTTTTAAATCGGGGAGAACAAAACAAAGATGTTTGAAGTTATTCAGCTTTTAATGAGTTAAAAAGTGACATTATAGGGGCACTGGTGGCGCAGTGGTTAGTGCGCACACCCCATGTATGGAGGCCATAGTACTCCAAGCGGGCAGCCCAGGTTCAAATCCAGCCTGTGGCTCCTTTCCTGCATATCATTCCCCACTCTCTCTCTCTCTCCCTGATCTCCCTGACTCTATCCACTGTCCTATCTCTCCATTAAAGGCACAAAAAGCCCAAAAATAAATCTTTAAACGTTACAACATTTTACACAGATTTGACGTTTCGGTACAGACACGTGTTGAATCCTCTGAGACGTTTCGGTTTCTGTGTGAGCTCACCTGAAGTGGTGACCATGACGACGGAGCTCCTCAGGTAGTTGTTAGCAGGAACGTAGTAGCAGTGCAGCTCGTTGCACATGAACGTCCCCCTCCTGGCCTGCTTCGTGGCCACGTAGACGATGTACCCGTACAGAGAGCACATGGTGATGATTGGCGCCACGATGCCTGCCAGCATCCACAGCAGGACAAAGCACCTGTCCTCAGGTGTAAAGTTGGGGCAACACAGGAAGCGAGATTCGCTGTAGACGTAGCTGCCGAAGCCCAGCAGGGGGAGGGCGGCGGTTACCAGACAGAAGAGCCAGACCAGGACCAGCATGGCTCGACTCCGCCCCCCCGTCCACACGCGGCTGTAGCTGAGGGCGAAGCAGATCTCAGTGAATTTGTTGACGGTGGCCCAGGTGAGCGAGTGCATGGAGGAGGTCTGCAGGAGAAGGAAGATGAAGCCGCTTCCCTGACAGAGGGCGCCCTCGCTGGCAAAACACGAAGACCAGGACAGACTGTTGTAGACCCCGAACGGGATGATGGAGAGTCCGAGAGCCAGGTCGCTGAGGCTGAAGCTCAGAGTGAGGCCCAGCGCGTCCGTACGCAGCTCCTTATTCAGGAGGAGAACCAGCAGGAGGAGGAGGTTCCCACAGACTGAAGCCATGCCGGACACCACCATCAGAGCGGCGTATAACATCCTCAGAGCGTCCGTCATATTCACAGGTCACAAAGTAGGTCAACGATTACATCACAGAGGAGACGGTGATATCAGAGGACGCTTGGAGACGAGGACTGACTGTCCACTAGATGGAGCTGTGATGAATCCCTGACTTTGTCTGGCTCTCAGCAGGTTACTGAGGTCATCTCATCTCCATGTGTGAGAACACAAACTCCACGGGCCAGCATCGGATACGGAGGATGTCCAACCTCCTCTTTCACAAACGTTTGTTTTCAGGTTAAAAGATGTGAAAGCTTAAACAGAAAGACCATCCTTTTAAAGATGCGGTCTGTCTTCGATGTATGAGCTCCTTCTTCACTCAGTCAGTCGATCAAACATCAGAGAGAGAAGGCGTTCAGTCGTCTCCAGCTGACTTGACGGCCTCCAGGTGTGTCTGTTTCCCTTCAAGAGGAAAACAACAGACGCACTACAGCTGGTAGTCAGAGTGAGAACACAGCAGCTGATCTCCAGTGTGACGCTCACTCCTGACCTCTCTCATATAAACAGACTCTATAAATCCAGAAGCTTCTGGTCTGAGAGCTGGTTGGACCTCAGTCAGCGCACAGATTACCTGAAGTCTATGAGTCACACAGAGAGCCCACAGTACCTGAGCACACCGCGGACACTTCACTGTGCATCTGCTCTAATCATCATCATCAGGAACATCTGAAACACAAACAGATTCAGGAACTTTATTTACGCTCACTTCCACATAAACTTTACAACACTGCCTTTTTACTGTCAGCTGATTTATATTTATTTGTATCATCTTCACAGTCTCTCCCAGCTTCTCTCTACACCTCGTCTCTCTCTGCTCTCATGTCAACCTGTACTGCACGTTTAATGTCTTCACTACATCTTCATCTGACCTGCTGCTGCTTAAACTCTGTGTGGCTGCTGTTCATGTCTCTCCTATCACTTCTTTTGTTTGACCTACCTCTCCCGTGTTTGCTGCTTCAGCTGACTTACTACCACTGGAGCTACCTTAGGTCTACTTGATCCTCCTCAGGGCCTCTTCAAACGACTTCAGTCTTTATTTGTTGTAGTGTACTTACGCCGCCTCTGCTGTCTTCTTCTGACTTTACAGCCAGGTTCAACAGCTCCCTGGTTCCTTGTCTTTGCTCCACAGTGGCTTACTCTCTCCTTGCACTGCTCAAACTCGCTTTAACTCTTCCCTTTCAAACCTTTTCATCCTCTGTCGTGACTTTAACGTTAAACCTGCTTCTTAAAACTTGGGTTCAGAGAGCACGGCAGAGCAGGAGCTCCACAAACACACATATTCAGACACGCACACACACACACACACACACACACACACACACACACACACACACACACACACACACACACACACACACACACACACACACACACAGCTGTTCTCCCCACTGGCTAGGCCATTCATATTAAAGGAGAGACGTCGCAGGGGCGTAAATATGGTACCTTCCACTGTGAGAGGCAGACTTGCTGTTTTTTATGGTCTTAACGGCCTCTTCATCGAGAGTCTTTATGAAACCGGATTTTAAAACAAAATCAAACGATATCCAGACCTGACAGTTCTAGACACCCAGTATTGGGTCATTTATCGGGTCTAAATGTCACAAATATACCGGAAACATTTTTGCCGTGGAAACATTGCTGATGTTTTTGTGAAATAAGACAGCTGGACGAAGTTTACCTTCAGTTTTTGGTCATTCAAACAAAGACGTCTAGATTTAAAGTGGAATTTTATTGAAGGTTAAAGTTCTGCTGTCATGACAACCTGATCCTCGACTGTGTTGACTGCTGCTTTGATTAAATGATACGCCTGCTCTCACGTCCCCTCTACGGTTTGTGATCGTCCATCTTCAGTCTTTAACCTTAGCCTGTCTTAGATTCGTCCTCTTTCCGAAGCGTTCTGTTTCTGCCTCTCTGATGAAGTCACAGTTTAAACGTCGTCCTCTGACATCACCCACACACCTCAGATATAAACAGTCAATCTTGCAGACCTCAGTCACCACACATGTCCTCTCACCTTAAGTTTGATGAGTCATAGTGAGGAGAAGAACCTGAATGCACCGTGTGATGTTCAAATGTTAGAAATCCATCTGTCTGCTCCACTGAAGGTCCACCCTGGACCCTCAAATGTGCCCCTGTTCTGCAACTGAAATCTCTGCTGTGATCCAGGAACCATCAGAGCGCTGATCAGTCCAGCATACAGCCTGAAAATCCACAAAGACTCTCACACACCTGTTACGCACACACAAACCTGTCGGCTCAGATTTTCTCCTCGGTTAGCATCAAGAGTCAAAGTAAAGAACGTGATGGTGTGAGATCGATCAGTTTGATCTTTAGGTTTGTTGTCTGGATCTGACTGAGAGTCTGCTCCGCTCTGAGTCTGACCATGGACTGCAGGGGGTGTGTGTGTGTGTGTGTGAGTCTCATGAGGCTGTGTTAACCATGGTGCACCTGTAAGTCACCTGCTGAGATGATGAGGAGAACACACGCATACACAAAGGATATTGGATGGCGTGCGTGCGTGCGTGCGTGCGTGCGTGCGTGCGTGCGTGCGTGCGTGCGTGCGTGCGTGTGTCACACTGCCTCCCTCAGGTAATAACGGGTGTGCAGGTTTGTAATCATCATCTTCGGACTCGGAGGAGCTCAGGTTGGGTTATGATGTGTTGCAGCCAATCAGATGCCTGTAATCATGATGGATATAAATATATATAAGCTTTATTTAAACTGGTAATCTTAAACAAACAGAGTTCACATTTAGAATGAGTCCAAAGATCGACTCTGTAACTGATTAACATCCAGAGAATAACTGTTTGTGCTCCCTACTGAGAGCCCGTGTTATCTCTCTGACCTGTTTCTAATTACAAGCTGATGGAGAAACAGTTTGTTTATGTTTGAAGCTTCTTTAATATATCTCAGTATGAGATAAGAACGCTGGGAAAAAACAAAAAGAGCACAAAAATGATGTAAAAGTTGTTCAAAGTGTGTGTCTGTTAGGGGAGGAAATCACCAGAGGCCCCACGATACGATATCATCATGATTTTGTGATATGCTGAGGCTCGCGATACAATATATTGCAATTTTTTAACTGCATATTTTGTCCACAAAACTAAACTAAATCAAGAACTGTTTGGCCAGGGGCGTGCTGGTGGCGCAGTGGCAGGGCACTGCTTGAGACTCTCGTCTCGAGCGGTATGCCCGGGTTCGCTTCCACTCGTGGCCCCTTTCCGCATGTCATTCCCCGCTCTCTCTTCCTGGTTTCCGACTCTATCCACTGTCCTCCCTCTGAATTAAAGGCACGAAAAAGCCCAAAATAAATCTTAAAAAAAGAAAAAAAAGAACTGTTTGGTCAAATAAGAAAAAATGCTCAGTCTATTCATCTCACTTCAGTCTTCTTATTTCTACACAATGAGAGTCGAGCCCACAGACTGACCAACACTGTGATGAAACTAAAACCCTGCATGAACTTCACAATCTGAACTGTTGGTATTTAAGTCTTCATACCCCACACCAGTGTACAGTGTGTGTCTGTACAGTGTACAGTGTGTGTCTGTACAGTGTAGTGTGTGTGTCTGCACAGTGTGTCTGCACAGTGTGTCTGCACAGTGTACACTGTGTGTCTGTACAGTGTGTCTTCACAGTGTGTCTGCACAGTGTACAGTGTGTGTCTGCACACTGTACACTGTGTGTCTGTACAGTGTGTCTGTACAGTGTACAATGTGTGTCTGCACAGTGTACAATGTGTGTCTGCACAGTGTACTGTGTGTCTGCACAGTGTGTCTGCACAGTGTGTCTGTACAGTGTACAGTGTGTCTGTACAGTGTGTCTGCACAGTGTGTCTGCACAGTGTGTCTGCACAGTGTGTCTGTACAGTGTACAGTGTGTCTGTACAGTGTGTCTGCACGGTGTACTGTGTGTCTGCACAGTGTATAATGTGTGTCTGCACTGTGTCTGCACAGTGTATAATGTGTGTCTGCACAGTGTATACTGTGTGTCTGCACAGTGTATACTGTGTGTCTGCACAGTGTATAATGTGTGTCTGCACAGTGTATAATGTGTGTCTGCACAGTGTATAATGTGTGTCTGCACTGTGTCTGCACAGTGTATAATGTGTGTCTGCACAGTGTATAATGTGTGTCTGCACAGTGTATAATGTGTGTCTGCACTGTGTCTGCACAGTGTATAATGTGTGTCTGCACAGTGTATACTGTGTGTCTGCACAGTGTATACTGTGTGTCTGCACAGTGTATAATGTGTGTCTGCACAGTGTATAATGTGTGTCTGCACAGTGTACAGTGTGTCTGCACAGTGTATACTGTGTGTCTGCACAGTGTACAATGTGTGTCTGCACAGTGTACAATGTGTGTCTGCGCAGTGTATACTGTGTGTCTGCGCAGTGTATACTGTGTGTCTGCGCAGTGTACAATGTGTGTCTGCGCAGTGTATACTGTGTGTCTGCGCAGTGTATACTGTGTGTCTGTGCAGTGTATACTGTGTGTCTGGACAGTGTACAGTGTGTCTGCACAGTGTATACTGTGTGTCTGGACAGTGTACAGTGTGTCTGCACAGTGTACAGTGTGTGTCTGCGCAGTGTATACTATGTGTCTGCGCAGTGTATACTGTGTGTCTGTGCAGTGTGTGTCTCCTCTATTTATTGATTATTGATCTGTGATTGATTGATGAGTCCTGCTGTGTTTGTGTATTTCAGCACAACGCTCCGATCCCTCAGGGCGGGCGAGGAGCGATCCAGTTCGTCACTCAGTACCAACACTCATCAGGACAGAGACGCATCAGAGTCACCACCACGGCCAGGAAGTATGAACCACACATGCGCACACGCGCACACGCACACGCACACGCACACACACACACACACTTAAACTTGCCTCTCCTCTCCTCTTCTTCTCCCCCTCCTCCCCAGCTGGGCGGATGCTCAGACTCAGATTCAGAGCATTGCAGCGTCCTTTGACCAGGAAGCAGCGGCCATCTTGATGGCGAGGTTAGCGGTGTACCGGGCGGAGACGGAGGAAGGTCCTGACGTACTTCGCTGGTTAGACAGACAGCTGATCAGACTGGTGAGTGAAGGGTTAATGCTGATTATTGATCACATGATGTTAACATGAGTAAAGATATTAATGTTTGATTGTTGTTTGTTTGTGCTCAGTGTCAGAAGTTTGGAGATTATCACAAAGACGATCCAAACTCTTTTAGGTTCTCTGAGACCTTCTCACTCTACCCTCAGGTGAACAACATCCCTTAATACTCTGATACTGTTTTACCTGTATTAAATCACCTGCTAAACAGTTATCAATAAACACCCTGTTCAAGTCTCTCTGTTGGTTTACCTGTTAGCTGATGTTACACCTGTTAGCTGATGTTACACCTGTTAGCTGATGTTACACCTGTTAGCTGAGGTGTTACCTGTTAGCTGATGTGTTACCTGACGTGTTACCTGTTACCTGAGGTGTTACCTGTTAGCTGATGTTTCACCTGTTAGCTTAAGGTGTTAACTGTTTGCAGAGGTGTTACCTGTTAGCTGTAGTGTTACCTGTGAGCTGAGGTGTTATCTGTAACCTGCTGTTAATTGTTTTTTTTTTTTTTCAGTTCATGTTCCACCTGCGGCGCTCTCCGTTCCTGCAGGTGTTCAACAACAGTCCTGATGAGAGCTCGTATTACAGACACCAGTTTAACAGACAGGACCTGACTCAGGCTCTCATCATGATCCAACCTGTGCTCTACGCCTACTCCTTCAACGGACCACCTGAGGTGCGCACACACACACACACACACACACACACACACACACACACACACACACACACACACACACACACACACACACACACACACACACACACACACACACACAACTGTTCCTTCAGTTCTTCTGTGCACACCTGTATAATCTCCTCTACCTACCTGTGCTCTCTTTAAATACATTGATTACTTTATGTGTATATATTTGTAAACAGTTCAGATCTTTTTTTTCTATAAAACTTTTTCATATATTTTCTATTTTCACCTGAGCACGACTTTATTCACTCACTTGTGAATTTACCTTTACACCCCACACCTGTGCTCTTTGTACACATGTATTTATATTGATGTGTTGTTCTAGAATACTTTAATAACTTTGAATCCCTGAACACTTCTATACTGATATATTTTAATGCTAATAAACATTTTAACTGACCTAGACGTACACCTGTGGAAGTTAAACTCTCACACCTGTATACTTAAATACTAAATTTATACGTATTATAACTTGTGTGTGTGTGTTTCAGCCCGTCCTGTTGGACAGCAGCAGCATCCTGCCTGATAGAATCCTGCTGATGGACACGTTCTTCCAGATCCTCATCTACCACGGAGAGGTACACACACACACACACACACACACACACACACACACACACACACTTAATCAGCTACTTGTGTGTGTGTGTGTTTTTAATAATCAGTGTTTGAGGTTAAACAGCAGCTGTGATTATTTATGATCACATGTCAGCAGGTCGTCAATGATTAAAATGATTATATTTAATTATATAATATAAATGAATAGGGAAACGGTCTCTATGACAACAAGACGATGACATCAGTCAGAGTTTATAACTGACAAAATAATTACATGTCATATATCAAAAGTTAATAAATGAAGAGTTTAAAGTGTTCGTCATAATCACCTTCAAACATTTAACAATAGAATATGATTATAATAATGATGTCATTATTCCCTGCTCTCTGTCTGTCAGGCTGGTTACAATGTACAGTGTTATTATTCCCTGCCCCCTGTCTGTCAGACTGGTTATAATCTACAGTGTTATTATTCCCTGCTCTCTGCCTGTCAGGCTGGTTACAATCTACAATGTTACTATTCCCTGCTCTCTGTCTGTCAGACTGGTTATAATCTACAGTGTTATTATTCCCTGCTCTCTGCCTGTCAGGCTGGTTACAATCTACAGTGTTATTATTCCTTGCTCTCTGTCTGTCAGACTGGTTATAATCTACAGTGTTATTATTCCCTGCTCTCTGCCTGTCAGGCTGGTTACAATCTACAATGTTACTATTCCCTGCTCTCTGTCTGTCAGACGGTGGCTCAGTGGAGGAAGGCAGGTTATCAGGAAATGCCAGAGTATGAAAACTTCAAACACCTCCTTCAGGCTCCCGTAGACGATGCTCAGGAGCTGCTGCACACTCGCTTTCCCATGCCGAGATATATCGACACTGAGCACGGAGGCAGCCAGGTGGGGGCGCCAAAACAAACATATACGGATATACGATTAATACCAAGTGCCTGATGATCATTTATTTAATGATGTTAATGTTTCCAGGCTCGTTTCCTGCTCTCCAAAGTGAACCCCTCTCAGACTCATAACAACATGTACGCCTGGGGTCAGGTGAGTCGCTAACCTTTACCTTTTACCTTCAGACTGCCTGTGTTGTACCTGTCCTGATATTCTGTGTTGTACCTGTCCCAATGTTCTGTTTGGAACCTCTCCTGATGTTCTGTTTGGAACCTGTTTGGAACCTGTCCTGATGTTCTGTGTTGTACCTGTCCTGATGTTCTGTGTTGTACCTGTCCTGATATTCTGTGTTGTACCTGTTTCAATGTTCTGTTTGGAACCTGTCCCGATGTTCTGTTTGGAACCTGTCCTGATATTCTGTGTTGTACCTGTTTCAATGTTCTGTTTGGAACCTGTCCTGATGTTCTGTGTTGTACCTGTCCTGATGTTCTGTTTGGAACCTGTCCTGATGTTCTGTGTTGTACCTGTCCTGTTGTTCTGTGTTGTACCTGTCCTGATGTTCTGTGTTGTACCTGTCCTGATGTTCTGTGTGGAACCTGTCCTGATGTTCTGTGTTGTACCTGTCCTGATGTTCTGTGTTGTACCTGTCCTGATGTTCTGTGTGGAACTGTCCTGATGTTCTGTGTTGTACCTGTCCTGATATTCTGTGTGGAACCTGTCCTGATGTTCTGTGTTGTACCTGTCCTGATGTTCTGTCTGGAACCTGTCCTGATGTTCTGTCTGGAACCTGTCCTGATGTTCTGTGTTGTACCTGTCCTGGTGTTCTGTGTTGAACCTGTCCTGATGTTCTGTGTTGTACCTGTCCTGATGTTCTGTGTTGAACCTGTCCTGATGTTCTGTGTTGTACCTGTCCTGATGTTCTGTGTTGAACCTGTCCTGATGTTCTGTGTTGTACCTGTCCTGATGTTCTGTCTGGAACCTGTCCAGATGTTCTGTGTTGAACCTGTCCTGATGTTCTGTGTTGTACCTGTCCTGATGTTCTGTGTTGTACCTGTCCTGATGTCCTCCCTCTCTCCTCCTGCAGGAGTCGGGAGCCCCCATCCTCACTGATGACGTCAGCCTGCAGGTGTTCATGGATCACCTGAAGAAACTGGCCGTCTCCAGCGCTGCCTGATCTCACCTGGCGCCTCTTCTATCTGTGTTTTGTTTATTCTTTTATCTTTTCATTTGCTGCCTGTGTTTCCATGACAAAAAACTAATTAACAAGCCAACCCAGTCTGCCTTTTCCTGTCACCAGTCCAATTCCCTTCAGCCAATCAGCTGCAGGCTCTGATCCCAGACAACCAATAGAGACACGTGTAACATCCTGACCTGTCAGACTCTCTTTTAAACATGCTGCCTTTAAAACACCTGAAGAAGAAGAGTCCTGTCTGAAACGCGCACAGGATGTTTTATTTTGAAGGAGCCGATCAGTCTGTTCACATAATAAGTGTTCATCAGTATTTCCTCCCTGCAGCTTCATCAACGTTTTCTTTATTCACCTCAAACTTTGATTGATTGATAAAACCTCTTGGGCCCCATGTCCACCTGGCGTGTTTATCGAGCAGGATAAGTGCTGGCTGTGCGCTCTGCGGTGTTTGGATGAAGCGTTTGCGCTGAGAATAAAGCACTGCACGTGCGTCCTGTCTCCATGACAACAGTCTCTTAAAAAATGGCCGCTGTATGACCGACTCTGTTCTGTTTCTTTTTATTGTGTTTTATATATTTCCTTCACTCAAACGGAGGTTTGACCTCCGACTTAGTCTCGACAAGGAGCGAGGACGATGTGGTTACTGGACACGAAAATAAGGAGAATATCTTTTATTTTGAAAAGAGCATCTTCAGCGGCATTCTGAAAAGTTGTATGTTTTTCATCTCGGAGCAGCCCCACAAAAAGGTTGGAGCGCTGGTAAAAAAAGAAAAAACGCTGGGCGCTTCGCTTGGTCTCTTAGCGGCTGATGCTGCTGCTGTGAACGCTCTCTGCTCGTAAAAAAACAATTGAAAAAAGATGCTGGCGCTCAGAAAAAACACCCAGGTGGACACTGGGACAGGGCCTGAGTGATATGAAGCAGCAGGACGTTTGGCCTGTGAGCAGAAACTGAACACATTAATCAATCAATAACTTGGCGTTATGTTGATGAAGGCGTGCTTTAGATCCAGTTAGTTGGTCAATCGAATTTCAAAATAAAATCCATCAAGGTAAAAAGTCAGCAGGCGTGATCCTCCCTGATATTTTTATTCAGTCACTCCAGAAACATTTCAACAAGGTGTGGAAACATTCAAAACCCGTCCATGTTTTTATGTTAACTCGTGTGAAACCAGTTTATTTATTAACGGATCAAATCAAAACTTCAATCTGTGTGAGCGTTTATCTGCAGCTCGACTCATCATTCAAATAAGAAATGATCCAACATGGTTTGTCTGGGACTCTTTGTGTTGCCGTGGTAACCAACAGGTTGACTAGAATAGTTTGAAAGTTAAGATGCTGGTATCATGACGACCTGACGTGTGAACGATACTTAGAGGAAAAAAATGGACTTCCTGTTTCTTTCAGAGGTTATAATAAAGATAATAATGAAACATTTAAAGACGTGAAGCACTGAGTACAAAGGAGATCAAACTGCGAGCTGATCGACTGCAGGCGGGAGGTGAACCAATAAACACTTCAGAACAGCTTCGTCCAATCAGAGCAGCTCTGGTTGTGATGATGGGTCAGCTGACGTGACATCAGAACAGCTGTTTGTTGTCCCTCTCCCCCCCCCCTTGATGATGACATCATGAAGAGAGCCACCCCCTCCTGATCTGTTAGTTTCTCTTTAAAGCCATTGAACACTAAACGTCGTGCACACGAACGTTTTCTTTTTGTTTCTAATAAAAGTGGAGAAAATAAAAATCTGTGTTTGTGATTCTTCTGAAACATTCAGACATGACGACGAGACAGCAGAAGCATACTGACAGAGTCCTTCACACTGTGGAGATTTCATTTCTTCTCTCTCTAAATATCTGACTGTAATTATGACTAACTACCTTTTGGATTTCTACGGTGCGCCAGAAGCCGTAGAATATTTTTTTAATTAGGCCTAGTACACCTACTTCAGGGGCTCCGTCGATTTTTATTTTTTTATTTTGTTTTAGTGACGGTGCCTCTCAGTCCTCTCCTGGAAATAAATTAATGGTTTTTTTATTGCTTTATTGCAGTTTGTTATACAACTGGGAAGTGTTTGTGTGTGTGTGTGTGCGCGCAAGTATGATCTTATATCACCTGGGCTAATGAACTGTGGCACACCTGAGCGTCACCTGCAGCGTCACCTGCAGGTGAGCGTCACCTACAGGTGAGCAGGTGGCACACATCTCTCCCCTGCAGGTGAGCGTCACCTACAGGTGAGCAGGTGGCACACATCTCTCCCCTGCAGGTGAGTGTCACCTACAGGTGAGCAGGTGGCACACATCTCTCCCCTGCAGGTGAGCAGGTGAAGCCTCACCCATACAGCCCACCATGTTACTGTTTTCCTTTGAATCCCCGGCTCTGATAAAGAAGCGGACAGTGTTTATAATCACAGCTGTGTCACCTGTAAATGTGAGAACGCTGTACCCTGACTATAGATGAGGTCCAGCAGGGGGCAGCACACCTCCACCTGACTCTAACCATGTCTCCTGTCTCCGTCGTCTGACCCTCCTCCCTGACTCTGTATCCGTGGCGATGACCCTTCCCTTTGTTCTGTCTGCCTCTGTTGCCGTGGTGACGCCCCTCCATCAGCTGAAACAAACACCTCTATAAAAACAGACACCCGCCTCCAGGTTTTCAGTGCTGTTACCATGGAGATGCTCACCCAGGTGATGCTCCTGCAAACAAAATAAAACAGATGGATAGGCGACACTACTTTATCATGAGGATGTTTGATTTTCCTTAGACTGAAGTGTTTTAAACCTGCATTCTCTTTAATGTCCAGCAGGGGGTAAAAAACCTGATTCCATGAAAGTCTATGATAAAACATTTTCAACTGTGAGTTGATTTCTTCCCTCAGTAAACATTTAACTGATGTTCATGGTCTCAATCTTTAGTTTCAAGTCTTCTTCACCACAGCCTGATGTTCAGTTTGTCAATTATGGTCCAATTAGAGTCACAGAGACCAGGAAGAAGGAGGGGTTAGGGGCGGGGCTACCTGGGATTGACCAGTCGCTACCATGGTTACCTGCAAAAAGTTTTTATCACTGTTTGGTTGATGGCTGTTCATGTTTTCAGGAAGAATGATTTTGTGTAAGGAAGTGACCATATTTTGACTGGAGGGAGGAGCTCCTCTACCCCCCCTCTCTCCCTCTTGTCCAAATATGGTCACGATGGTGTTCGTTTAGTAAATGATGGTTCCATTTACAGTCTAAGGCTGCGTCTGAAACTGCAGACCTTCCTCCTCTTCATACTAAATGTCACATTGAGTATGTTTGTGAGAAATATTCCGATCTTTACAAGATCGGAATTTTTAAGTATGAAACTGGAGCACACTGGTCCTGATAAACTGCCCCACAATGCACTGCGGCTCTCAGACTGTCCAATCACAGAGCTCGCCTGCAGGCCAACTATCGACTTAAAAAAAAAAAAGTTCTGTGCTCAAATCAATTTGACATGTTGCTCATTAATATTAAAATGAGCAAGTAGCTTTGTCAGTAATGAACTGATCTTTATTGTTGTTGAATTATATTTACGGACTGACGGTTGCGTTAGCTTGATGCTAGCTCATCAAACAGAGCTATGTATGCTAAGTATGTCACATGACTCGTATGTGTTGCTAACGGCAGGTTAGTGTGCAGTATACAGTGGGTACGGAAAGTATTCAGACCCCTTTACATTTTTCACTCTTTGTTTCATTGCAGCCATTTGCTAAAATCAAAAAAGTTCATTTTATTTCTCATTAATACACTCAGCACCCCATCTTGACAGAAAAAAAACAGAAATGTAGAAATTTTTGCAAATTTATTAAAAAAGAAAAACTGAAATATCACATGGTCATAAGTATTCAGACTCTTTGCTCAGTATTGAGTAGAAGCACCCTTTTGAGCTAGTACAGCCATGAGTCTTCTTGGGAATGATGCAACAAGTTTTTCACATCTGGATTTGGGGATCCTCTGCCATTCTTCCTCGCAGATCCTCTCCAGTTCTGTCAGGTTGGATGATGAACGTTGGTGGACAGCCATTTTCAGGTCTCTCCAGAGATGCTCAATTGGGTTTAGGTCAGGGCTCTGGCTGGGCCAGTCAAGAATGGTCACAGAGTTGTTTCGAAGCCACTCCTTTGTTATTTTAGCTGTGTGCTTAGGGTCATTGTCTTGTTGGAAGGTGAACCTTCGGCCCAGTCTGAGGTCCTGAGCACTCTGGAAGAGGTTTTCTTCCAGGATATCTCTGTACTTGGCCGCATTCATCTTTCCTTCAATTGCAACCAGTCGTCCTGTCCCTGCAGCTGAAAAACACCCCCATAGCATGATGCTGCCACCACCATGTTTCACTGTTGGGATTGTATTGGGCAGGTGATGAGCAGTGCCTGGTTTTCTCCACACATACCGCTTAGAATGAAAGCCAAAAAGTTCAATCTTGGTCTCATCAGACCAGAGAATCTTCTTTCTCATAGTCTGGGAGTCCTTCATGTGTTTTTTGGCAAACTCTATGCAGGCTTTCATATGTCTTGCACTGAGGAGAGGCTTCCGTCGGGCCACTCTGCCGTAAAGCCCCGACTGGTGGAGGGCTGCAGTGATAGTTGACTTTGTGGAACTTTCTCCCATCTCCCTACTGCATCTCTGGAGCTCAGCCACAGTGATCTTTGGGTTCTTCTTTACCTCTCTCACCAAGGCTCTTCTCCCACGATTGCTCAGTTTGGCTGGACGGCCAGGTCTAGGAAGAGTTCTGGTCGTCCCAAACTTCTTCCATTTAAGGAATATGGAGGCCACTGTGCTCTTAGGAACCTTGAATGCTGCAGAAATTCTTTTGTAACCTTGGCCAGATCTGTGCCTTGCCACAATTCTATCTCTGAGCTCCTTGGGCAATTCCTTCAACCTCATGATTCTCATTTGCTCTGACATGCACTGTGAGCTGTAATGTCTTATATAGACAGGTGTGTGCCTTTCCTAATCAAGTCCAATCAGTTTAATTAAACACAGCTGGACTCCAATGAAGGAGCAGAACCATCTCAAGGAGGATCAGAAGAAATGGACAGCATGTGAGTTAAATATGAGTGTCACAGCAAAGGGTCTGAATACTTATGACCATGTGATATTTCAGTTTTTCTTTTTTAATAAATTTGCAAAAATTTCTACATTTCTGTTTTTTTTCTGTCAAGATGGGGTGCTGAGTGTACATTAATGAGAAATAAAATGAACTTTTTTGATTTTAGCAAATGGCTGCAATGAAACAAAGAGTGAAAAATGTAAAGGGGTCTGAATACTTTCCGTACCCACTGTATATAGTTTGAGTGTGTAGTATGCAGTGTCTGCTTTCGGACACAGCCAAAGAGACCACAAAGAGGGGGAGGGGTTAGGGGCGGGGCTGACTTGGATTGACGGGTTGCTACCACGGCGACCTGAAAAAAAATGTATTGAGCATTGGATTGGACTAAAAGAAGCTGTGAGGAGTAAGATGTTCATGTTTTCAGTATTTTGCTGCAGGAAGTGACCACATATGGAAAATAGGCGGAGCCGGAGAGGAGAGAGGGGAATGTCTCTGTAATGAAGATGTTTCATAACTAGAACCGTTCAGTTAAAGTACAAACAACAGATATTAAAATCACTTATTAAATGTTAGTATTTAAATAATATTATAGCGCTGACTGCCAATCAAAGTATTCTGCTTTTTTTTAGTGTTTGTAGTTTTAGTGAACTTTTAAAGAGAGATGTAGTTCTGACCCTGTTCGTACTGTTAGAACTGGTTTAACTGGTGACAGATTGACTGGTTGTGATTTGAATGACTGTGAGTGATGTCAGTGATGTTGCAGCAGGCTTTAAAAGTGACCAATCAGAAGCCAGCGGCCCATAAATACCTCCATTCAAATTAAATCTGATGGGGATTAAAACACACACACACACACACACAAAGTCCAATTTGCCCATTCCTATGTCACCATGACAACAGGGGTTTGTCAGAGCACCTCGTAGACAGCCCTTCACTTCCTGTCATTCTTCACACACTTCCTCCAGGAAGCATCTGGGTCAACAACAATCATCCTCCACCGAGCGTTTCCATCGTTTGTTCAAATACAATACTGAGTTTGTGTGTGTGTGTGTGTGTGTGTGTGTGTGTGTGTGTGTGTGTGTGTGTGTGTGTGTGTGTGTGTGTGTGTGTGTGTGTGTGTGTGTGTGTGTGTGTGTGTGTGTGTGTGTGTCTGCAGTAGCAGCGCCATTAATCACACACTTCCTGTCAGATCAAAGAGTTTCAGAACAAAATGAAGGTCTCTGAAAACATTTTGATGAAAAGTGAAACTTTATTCTGAAATTCAAAGGAAGAACATCACATCCTATCCTAATGAGTCCTGGAACATTTCCATGCACCATCAGTCTTTTCAAGGACAATCCAGAAACAATACAAACTGTCCTGGAAGTCCTTGATAAAGTTTAAAACCCACACACATCCTAATTTGTGTTTACGTGAAGGTACACCAAACCTTTTCAATGACCTCTGGAATACATTTAACGAGTGCTTTACCTTTTTAGACTTTCAGTGTAATCTGTAATGAAGATGTCTGGTCTCAAAGGAACCTCCCAAGGACCTCTGTCATCTCCTCAAGGGATCCTTGAACCTCTGCAAGGACCGCTTGTATCACTTCAAACATTAGTTTAACCTACTCAAGGACCTCTGATATCTCTTGTATATATCCTGGAGACTACTCAAGGATCACAAGGATCCCTTAATCATCTAATGGATCAGTGATATCTTTTCAATGAACCCTTGAATCTCTTCTGGGACCTCTGTCATCACCTCAAGGGCACCTTAACCCTCTACAGGAACCACTTTTCTTATTTCAAAGTCTTCAAGGACCACTGAATCTGTTCAGTGCCTCCTGGAGCCACTCAATGACCAAAAGGATCGCTGAACCATCTTATGGACCAGTGATATCTCTTCAGTGAATCCTTGAGCTTCCTCAAGGACCACAGTTGACATCTGATGGACCACTGGAACTCCTCAAGGTACTGTTTGAACTCCTTAATGACCCCAGGAGTTTTCTCAAGGATCTTCGTAAACTCCACAGACTGAGATCTCTATAATGGCCCTCAAAAATCCTCAAGGTTCTATTAAAGCCGTTACTTGAATCCTGGAACCATATTCAAGGACCAATGACTCTTGTCATTAATCCTTGAACGTTCGTAACAATCCCTGCCATCCCATGTAGGACCTGAGAACCTTCTCAAGGACCACTGTAAGATCTTCAAAGACTCCTGGAACCTCTTCAAGAACCACTGTAAGATCTTCAAAGACTCCTGGAACCTCTTCAAGGACCACTGGAATCAGAATAAATGTATAAATGTGACGTCGACTTGTCTGAACCAAACCTCATTCAGAAAATAACGACTTTAAGGATGTGTTTTCAGAGTCTGGTTTAGTTCGAACATGTTTGTGTGTTCATGTCTGTGGTTATAAATACTTTCAAGGTGGATATCTTTACAATTGCTCAGGTGAATCTACATCTACAGCGTCTTAACTTTGAACAGGATCAACAAGTTTTATCTGACTTTGAAAAATTATCAAATTCTGACTGAGGTTTGGTTCAAACAAAGATTATGAAGCTGGACTCTGCAGTTTGTTTCCTGTCTCTCTGAGTGAGCGACGGCGTTTCTCTGGAGGAAACGAGCTCGCAGTATCAAGACACAACACACTTCCTGTCCCACAGGAGAGGAGGGCCGACTAGGTCCGGGGGGAGGAGGAGGAGGGGAGGAGGAGGGGTGAGGCTGACAGTCAGTCTGTTAGTGGAGCTACTGTGGAGGACTGCAAACAGAAGGAGGCTCTGACAGAGGAGGAGGTGAGGAAGAGGAGGACCTTTCTGAAAACTGCAAGAGACACCAGGAGGAGAAACCAGGAGGAGACACCAGGAGGAGAAACCAGGAGGAGACACCAAGGGACAGAGAGGAGCTGAATGAATCAGATCTGTTTTTGAGAGTTTTACTGACGGTAAGAAAAACTTATAGAGCTAAAACTGTGTGTGTGTGTGTGTGTGTGTGTGTGTGTGTGTGTGTGTGTGTGTGTGTGTGTATCTGTGTGTGTGTATCTGTGTGTATCTGTGTGTGTGTGTGTGTGTGTGTGTGTGTGTGTGTGTGTGTGTGTGTGTGTGTATCTGTGTGTGTGTATCTGTGTGTATCTGTGTGTGTGTGTGTGTGTGTGTGTGTGTGTGTGTGTGCATCTCTGTGTGTGTTTGTATGTGTGTATCTGTGTGTGTGTGTGTGTGTGTGTGTGTGTGTGTGTGTGTGTGTGTGTGTGTGTGTGTGTGTGTGTATCTGTGTGTGTGTGTGTGTGTGTGTGTGTGTGAACATAAACACGGAGAGAATTAAAGAGATAATGATCCATCAGACATCCTGACAGGAACCCAGGAAGCTTCCTCCCCTCCTTCACTTCAGGATGCTTCCTCGCTCTCTTCTTAACTTTGATTTCTCTCAGAACAAAAGCTGAATATTCCACTCTGAAACTGAATATTCTCATCATGCTCTTCAGCAAGAAGATGTGAAACTCAAACACAGGGAGTGACGCCCTGTGTTTGAGTTTCACATCTTCCTGTGAGACTGATTCACCTCTTTGTACCTTCTTTTCCTCTCTTTCAGGGGCGTGTCCAGAGGGGTGTTCAGGGGTGGTGTGGGCCCCCTTTGAAATCTGAATGGTGCCTCCCCAAAATCCCAAACTATGATTGGCTATTGAGCTATTCAGAAGCGGGGCTTCAGTTAAAAAGATTCTGGCTGTGTTGCAACAGGCTGCTTCGTTTAGCTGTAAATAAACAGTGAGCACAGATTTGATAAGGCGGCTTCTTAGGAAAGGAAAGAGTCCAAACTGCTGCACCCTGTCTGACTTGACAAGAACGCACTAAGAACATTTGGGTATTGAACCATCGCCAATAACTCTTTTTCTGCTAAGTAGAGTTTGGATGCAATATTCTAAGTATTTGTGACTTTGCAAATCTTCTTCAATTTTACAAGTAAACATCTGTATGAACTTCTACCTTTCTTTGAACTAAGAAACACTTCTAGACTATGTTTAGCATTAAACTCTTTAAGAGGTTACTGATACCCACCCCCCTTCTTCTGATTCAACTATAAAAGTGTTTTCTCTTTTTCTTCTTTGAACTTTGCTGCACATTGTTTCTTACACTCTATAGTTTTGCTCCTTCTACTTGCAAGAGAATTCAACTCAACAGAGAATACTGCTTGACTCAGATCATTTATTCAAACAGACTTTTGTTTACAGAAATTTCCATGACATTACAAGTTCAGATCATTAATTGTCCTCATTAGAAACAGTCCAATAAGATGTATTACTGTTCATAACCTCCCAGACTCATCGCTCGGTCTGATGGTACCTGTGTGCAGAAGTTTTTAATCTGCTGCACAGGTAACATACACAGGTTATTTCTGACGATGATGATACGTTTCTTCTTAGAGAAGTTGTTTCTTATTGGAATGTTAAGATTATAATAATGGAGGTGTTGCTAAAGTACGTTCAGACTCCTGACGCCTTTCTTATGGAAAACCAAAACCAGCTTCTTTTGTTTTGTCCCTTCTGAACTATCCAATCAAGAATCTGATGAAGAAATGAATCAGAGATATAAACATAGAGTGGAGTATCGTCTGCATATAAAGCCATCAGAAATGTCTTCTTTGAGCTGAATCATTATCTCTGGTTTTAAAGGAGAAAAACAGAAAACAACATTTTGTGCTAATATCTCTTTTATTTTGACAGCCTGACACCATCAGAGGGGGAGGAGTCAGAAAAGATGGAGTCAAGTGTCTGCTCAACCTGGGTTTACCTGTGCATGGTCATCATCATGTTCCGAAACATCTCAGCTGATCCCGATCCACCTGCATCCTACACTGTCCATCCCCAGCAGATCAGCTTTGAGCATGCGATGAAGGTCTGCTCCCCCGGCGTCCTCACCACGCTCTCCACCCAACAGGAGGTCTCTGAGGTCCTTCAGCACGTCTCCAACAAGCTCCTTAATCTGAATCAGAACAAGTTCACCTTCTGGGTGGGTCTGAGGAGCCTGAAGAACGAGTGTGTGGTCCCCTCGCTGCCCCTAAGAGGGTTCAAGTGGATCCAGGACGGCAGTCAGAAGTCTGAAGTGATCCACTGGAGGGAGGAGCCTAAACACACCTGTACCTCTTTACGCTGTGCAGCACTGCAGGGGGAGTTTGATGGGACGACAGTGACCAGATGGGGTCTGATCCCGGTCACCTGTAGGAACAGCTACCAGTTCATCTGTAAACTAACACCTGGGGACAGAGAGACCCCCGTCAAACCTGCTAAACAACAACCTGAACCAGCCACACCTGAACCACCTGGACCTTCCACAGAACAACCACCTGTACCTGTAACACACACACATCAATCTACACCTGTAATACATATGCCAGATCCTGATTCTGAACGTTCTGCCCCACCCGAAACTAATCTGAAGCCTAACACTGGACCAGATCTACAGGGACTTAAACCTGGCGCTGACCCTGTGTCAGGTAAGAATACGTGTGTGCGTCCTAAAGATCCCAACGACACTCCCGGGATCCGGTCATTCATCCTGGACCCTGAGAACAGCAACAGGATCCAGGTGGAGTGCTGGTTGTCTGACCTGGTGGAGCTCAGGTGTTTGGGTCATCCTCTGGTGTGGCGTCTCTTGGATGACTCGCCCGTCAACTTCTCTGCCGTCTGCCATCCGTGCGAAAGCGGCTTCAAGAGAGACGCTTTAGGACACTGTGTGGACATTGACGAGTGCAGCACCACCGCCACCTGCAGGCACACCTGTCTAAACTCTCAGGGCTCCTTCAGTTGCGTCTGCTCTGATGAGGACGGGAAACACCATGACGAGGACTCGCTGGCCTGCAGGGACACTTCTGCAGACAGCCAGAATGGCCTCTTGTCAGGGATCCTCTTCCCCGTGTTGATTGCCATAGCGGCGTTTGTGGTGCTGTTGGTGGTTGTGGCGGTGACGGTGAAGTGCTGCATGACAAGGCGGTCAAAGAAACACGACATGGAGAAGATGGCCATGAAGAGCAAAGAGGACAAGGATTCATTTCAAACAGCCAATGAGAAGACGGCGACATGAGGAGGCAGCGCTGTGATTGGTCAAAGGCTGTGACATCATCAATGAGAACTCTTACTGTTCACTGCCTGATGAAAATATTTGTCTCAAAAAACATTTCAGGGAGTTTTTATTCCTTAAAGTAAAATGTCTGACATAACGTTCAAATAAAGTTTTTCTGTTTTTACACTGAAGAGAAAAAAAGTCAGAAAGTTATTTATAGAAAGTTGTTGAATATTGACTCTGATCTCAGTTCAGACGTTTAAAATCTCAGTCACAGTTTGACCTGAACTCCGTCTGACAGGTGGCAGCGCTCTGATGAACCTGGAAACATAACCTTGTGATTTTTTTCTGTTTTAAGTTTTGAACTTGTTTCTACGACGTTGTCCTCTCCTCGTGTTTAATCTCTTCATTTTAAGATGATCTCACTTTTATTCCTATTTTATATCAAACCTTCCATATGGATGTTGTGGTCGACTTGTGTGACTCTGAATGTTGATAAGACTCGGACTTGTCTGCAACTCGACTCCATTCCATGTAAAAGCTTCTGAATGTTTTGTTTCTGAATCTGAAGGAGATTTTATTGAAAGACTGAAGAGTTCAAATGTCTGTTCTTACTGAGCATGTAAAACTGAATAAAATAAAATAATGTGTTGAATGTATTTCATACTTCAGAGTGTACCAACAAACACAGATCACACACCCGTTACAGGTGATTTTGCTCACCTGTTACCTGTTCCTGCAGGGGGCGCTGGAGTCCGATGGATGGCGGTCTCCATGCTGGAAATGCTGTCTCAGTCTAACTTTCAGTCAACCTAACGACAGGCTGAGAGCTGGAGCTGAGGCAGGTTTTAAACCTCCTGACAAACCGTTACACCGTGAATAACTCTTATCCTTCATCAAATCAAAACGGATGAGTCATCAAAACATTCACCCCCCCGTACAGTGTGTGCTGATCGAGACATGAGCTAATCAGACCTATTTGTTTTTTTGAACCAGGCTGTAAACATGTTAATCTCTGCTGTAAAAACAGGCTTTTTTGAATGGGTGTGTATGTGACTTCCTGTGCTTCTGCAGCCAGCCTCTAGTGGACACTTAGAGGTACAGGAGTTTGCTGCTTAGTGTGTATGTATGTATTTGTGGGTCAATGTGTGTGTTCATGAGCTGTTTGTCTGCAGAGAGGAAACAGCTGATGTCTGAGTTTTTTTATTGTTTATCAGGTACACACACACACACACACACACACACACACACACACACACACACACACACACACACACACACACACACACACACACACACACACACACACACACACACACACACACACACACAGCCTAAAGCAACGTCTATTAAAATGAACCTGGATGAACATCCTGAAGGTTTATAATCAGTTCATACAGTTATTATCTACACTCTGATTATATGATGCTTATTATTGTTTACCTAATCTATTAATCACTTAAACAGTCAATCAATGTCCCCCTTCTCTCTCAGTCTCTCTCTCTCTCTCTTAATCTCTCTCCCTCCCCTCTCCTCTCTTTCTCAGTCTCTCTCTCTCTCTCCCTCCTCTCCTCTCTCAGTCTCTCTCTTTCTCAGTCTCTCTCTCTCTCTCTCTCTCCCTCCCCTCTCCTCTCTCTCAGTCTCTCTCTTTCTCAGTCTCTCTCTCTCTCCTCCCCCTCCTCTTTCTCAGTCTCTCTCTCTCTCCCTCCCCTCTCCTCTCTCTCAGTCTCTCTCTCTCTCTCCCCCCTCTCTCTCAGTCTCTCTCTCTCTCCTCCCTCTCTCTCAGTCTCTCTCTCTCTCTCCCCCCCTCCTCTCTCTCAGTCTCTCTCACTCTCCCTCCCTCTCTCTCTCTCTCTGTACCGGAGGATCGTCTCTCCGATGCATCCGGTGGATCATAAGAGGAGCAGCTGATGAACTGAAGATGATTTTATTTTTCTGAATCTCTCCATCATCTCTCTGTCATGCAGCTGAACACCTCCTCCCCTCTCTCCTCCCCCTCTTCTTCCTCCTCCACCTCGTCTCCTCTCCCGGTCACTCTCGGCTCTCTGGAGGACGGTGGCGGGGGTTTCTTCCTTCTGAATGACTCCGGTAACGGCTCCCTGTCCGGCGGAGCGGCGCCCTCGGCGGGCAGCGCGGCTCTCATCTCGTCCATCTACTCGGTGGTTTGTCTGGTTGGTCTGAGCGGGAACTCCATGGTCATCTACGTCATCTTCCGGTATGCTAAGATGAAAACGGCCACTAACCTGTACATCCTGAACCTGGCGGTGGCCGACGAACTGCTAATGCTCAGTGTGCCGTTCGTCGTCACCGCCGCGCTGCTGCGCCGCTGGCCGTTTGGCGCGGCGCTGTGCCGCCTCGTGCTCAGCGTGGACGCCATCAACATGTTCACGAGCATCTACTGCCTAACGGTGCTCAGCGTGGACCGGTACATTGCGGTCGTCCACCCGCTGCGGGCGTCCCGGTACCGACGGCCCACGGTGGCCAAACTTGTGAACGTGTGCGTGTGGATGTTCTCCCTGCTGGTCATCTTCCCATCATCCTCTTCTCCTCCACTGCGCCCAACTCGGACGGCTCGGTGGCTTGTAACATGCAGATGCCGGAGCCTGAGAGGCGATGGATGGCGGCGTTCGCAGTCTACGCCTTCCTGATGGGCTTCCTGTTTCCGGTTCTTGCCATCGTGCTGTGCTACGCGCTCATCCTCAGTCAGCTCCGCGTGGTGGCGCTGCGGGCCGGCTGGCAGCAGAGGCGGAGCTCTGAGAGGAAGATCACGGTGATGGTGACGGTGGTGGTGTCGGTGTTCGTGGTGTGCTGGATGCCGTTCCACGTGGTGCAACTGGTGGGCGTGTTCCTGCAGCGTCATGACCCCACCCTCAGCCAGCTGGCCGTCGTCCTTGGGTACGCCAACAGCTGCGCCAACCCTCTGCTTTACGGCTTCCTGTCCGACAACTTCAGACGCTCCTTCCAGAGGATCCTGTGTGTGCGCTGGATGGAGGCCCCCGAGGAGCCCCTGGACTACCTGGACTACTTTAGCACGGCCCTGAAGAGTAGACGCCTCAGCCTGGACCAGGACCAGGAGGAGCAGGACAGGCCCCGCCCCCACAACACCTGCTCCAGGATGTAGTCTGAACTCTGATCTGCTCTAGGATGTAGTCTCAACCCTGATCTCACCTCCAGAATGTAAAGCGCCAGGCAGAGCTTCAGGTGTTTCTGCTTTTACAGGTGCTCCAAGGGCTCAAATTACACCTTCAGGTCCACAAAGAACCACGGTGGTCCCAGCTTGAACCAGGTCTGACATGGAGATCTCCAAAAGCAAGTTGATTGGTTGATAAACACATCATGTCAGCTGACAGAGACATTTGATCAGAACTTGTTTTAGAGCCTTTCAGCTCTCAGACGGAGGTTCTAAAGGAGATCTGGACCTTCAGGATTAATCAGATGACGGTCTTTAAACTGGTCTTCAGGATGAATTATTTTTATCAGCCAGAAACATGAATGTGAACTAACAATGATGTCACACAGAAGATGTCATACTGATGACTCTGTATTCAGTGTTGTGTTAGACATGGACCCGCCTCCTTCAGGTTGACAGTACTTTGTCCCATAAAGTCTCCAGAGCTCAGCCAATCAAAAAGAGGGGGCGGGGCAATCCTCTAATCCAGCAAAGAATTTACATTCTTGTTTTCATTCGGCAAGTGGAAAAAAAAGAAAAGATTCTGATTGGCTGCAGAGAGAAATGTACTGCTATTATTAGCCATGCTAGCCCCAGCACCTCATGTTTACAATGCTACTGAAGCTACTTCCTGTTAGCTTCTGTTGTTGACAGCAGCTTGTCAGCAGGTGGGTCGTGCTGCGTTCATGCGCTGCTGACTGTTTCAGTTTTCCCCTCATGGAGAGTTTATGAGCTTTAAAGTTTCACTGAGCGGCATGTTTCCATGGTGACCATGCTATTGTGACATCACACTCGGGGTTTGAAACTCACATGTTCAAACTTTTTTATTCTCCAGGATGTTCGGCACACAAACGCCAGAATCTGACTTACTATATTATCTCATGTTTCCACCGGGAAAAAAAACACAGAAGCTGGACACTGCAAGTTTGAAAGTTGACTGTTGCTAAGCAGCCCAAACATTCTCCTCAGAGTTGCAATGATTGGCTAGTGACATGTAACCCATCCCTGACTGGTTGTTTGATTCAGACATCATAACATCCCGAAGCAGCGAACACAAACAGATCAGACACTTTCAGTTTAATGTTGTTGGTGACATTACATGTTCATAAATGTTATTACCGGTTCATTCTGTTCATGTAACCCAACGTTTAATGAAACAATGATGTACTGTCACTTTAAGTAGAAATAGGAGCTGACAGGAAAAGATGTTTAAAATGAGTTTTTACTCGTGGCTCCGCCTGAAGATTCACTAAACATGATTAACGTCTTCTTCGGGTTGTCGCAATCTCAGAATTTTAAACTTCAATATTCAGTTTGATACGACGGCACAAATCGAGAGATCGGAGACCCCCAATCTTTGATACCAATCATCAAAACTTGCAGGCAAACACAAACACACTGTCTTCATTAAGTAAACATATTACAACATAAACAGAACTGAGAGATTTATTTTTGAGCTTTTCATGAGACGGGACAGCTGATAGAGCAAGAGAGAGAGAGAGTGGGGAATGACATGAGGGAAAGAAGCTACAGGCCGGACTTGGACCCGGGCCGCAGATCCTGAGGGCCATATCCTCCGTACATGGGGCGCTCAAACCAACCACTAGGCCACTGGCGCTCCTTCTGCAATCTTTGATGGATTTCAAGTTTTGGTCTCTTCGCTCGATCATTAAAATGACAGATGACATAATTTAAAAACACATAACTGTTCCTCATGGCGACCCTTCACACACAGAGGGCCCCCCAGACTTTTCTGACTGGGGGGCCAGCTGGGACATACGCAGGGAAGGCCTGAAGTTTGTGCAGACACATAAATGACGTTCACATATTAACCCTTTGTGTCCCCATTAATGATCCAAACTTGTATCACAAGTTTACAACATTGTCATCTGCTTAGCTTCATTAGAGGAGAAGTACAACGTCACAAATACTTCGAATATGACATTCAAACTCCTGCACACTGGCTACTTAACAGAAATACAGTTATTGGCGATGGTTCAATACCCAAACGTTCTTAGTGCGTTCTTTTCAAGTCAGACAGGGTGCAGCAGTTTGGACTCTTTCCTTTCCTAAGAAGCCGCCTTATCAAATCTGTGCTCAGTATTTATTTACAGCTGAACGAAGCAGCCTGTTGCTACACAGCCAGAATCTTTTTAACTTAAGCCCCGCCTCTGATAAGGTAAATAGCCTTTGGGATTTTGGGAGGCACCATTCAGATTTCAAAGGGGGCCCATGCTATGCCACTCCTCTGGACACGCCCCTGCAGACACTAACATCATAATCATAAAGTTAATGACATTTGGGTGAAAAATTGATGTTTATTAGCTTCAAAGAATCAAAATGTTTCCATGCCTCAAGGTGTCTCTGCCCCGCCCCCTGCCCAGACTCATACAGGTGGATTGGAGGACATGCTGCTTTGTATTTATGACCTTTGAACGTCACAAAGGTTAAAGATACCTCACAGGAAGTGATGCAGCTTCCTGCAGACAGTGAGCTGTCAATCAAATGATGTTTATTGTTTTCAGACTTTAAGATTAAATATCGTCCAATAAAAACTAATTATTTTACTGATTGCTCCCAGAATGCACCTCTCTCTGAAAATCTTTCTGTCTGTGATGTATTGATGATGTCAGTGTGTGAAGTTTCATTGAACTGACCAGAAGAGTGAAAGTTTTCTTTAAAGAGTTGCTTCAGATCGGAACAACATGGAGCTCTGTGATTGGCTCAGTGAAATGCACTCAAGGAATTGTAGTTGAGGTCTTTCCTTCCTTTTTTATCTGTTCATGTTTTGAACAAATGTGTTGACCTGAATCAGTTGATGGATCAATGCGTTGATGATAAAAGCTTCTGTGGGATCAGGTCGGGGGATTAATCTTCCATCTCATCACAGAGTTGCAGCTTCATTTCCTGTCAGCAGCGTGATGGTGACCTCACGGATGATGTCATCACAGCGGCAGCAACATAATGGTTGATGGATCAACGTAGGTCCAGAGTTGTTGTTTTTGTCCCTGGCAGGCTCAGGTAGTTATTCTCAGTGTGTTATCTACAGCCTCAGTTTCTGTGTTTTTATGAATTGCACAAATATGATGTTGAATCTAAAGTCAAACAGCCACACACACACACACACACACACACACACACACACACACACACACACACACACACACACACACACAAACACTCGGACAGCCTGCAGAGCATCAGAGTGGGAGGACGGATTCTGTTGTGACACCACGGGAAGCAACATACTTGGTTACCATGGTGATGTTGACTCAAACCGCACACACACACAGACTGATAATGTGGGTAATGATTAATGGATCGATCAGTGTGTTCATGCAAACATTTGGAAGTTTTCTTACAGATGTAAACAAAAGAATCCGTTTTGTAATGACTTTGGATTTGTTTATTCATTTTTTGGGCCTTGAGCGCCTTTTTTATGTCAGTGGACAGAGTCAGAAATCAAGGACAGAGAGAGAGAGAGTGAGTGAGTGAGTGGGGGACGAGATGCAGGAAACGAGCCCCAGGTTGTACCTGAATCCAGGCTGCCCGCCCAGAGGAACGCAGCCTCTGTACATGGGGCAAGCGCACTAACCACTCGTATTTACAGTTATTCTGTAATAAATCCTGTGAGCAGTTCTTTTGACTCTTACTGTTGTTAACTGCCACTATGATGTCACTATGACGTTTCTGATTTAATAAACAGAACTCTTATTAACTGAATCAGAAAAAACAGCCTCTGATTGGTTCATTTCTGCTGTGACACAGATTACTAGCTGATCTGAAATCAGCTACATGACCTCATCTTCTCTTGATTACGTTGGTTTTGGCTCCATCTAGTGGCGACAGATGAAACTGCTCTTTGCTTTTGCTCACTCAAGCCAAGGCACGTCTGAGCTCACAGGTGGATTCTGGGTTATGCAGTCCTCTGAGCAGCAGGTCCGCGTTCATCCAGCAGGTGGCAGCATCCACCTGCGAACAAAGATCATAAAACAGAGAGACACAGAGAGAGAGAGAGAGAGAGAGAGAGGCAGAGAGAGAGGGGCCGAGAAAGAGAGAGCGAGGAGGTGTGAGGAACTCAGTCAGACTGTTTAATGATGAATGATGTGTTCTCTGTATGCACGTCCATCTCTTCTTTAAATCAGGGCTGTCAGCATTAACCAGTTAATCATGATTAATTGAGGTCTGATTATCATGTTATTTTGTCCCTTCACACTCACCGTAGATAGTGGTGCTCAGTGTCTCCCTGTAGTCCCTGTGATGTAAAAGAAGGACACTGCTGCATCTTTGAATGTCTCATCTCACTTTAACAAACTCAGAGACAGCTCAGCTGACCAAAGTAATATCCACCTTATGACATCACACATTGATGTTTGAAAAACTCTCAGAAACGGTTTATTTATTTTATTTAGGAAGGTTTAGATGCTCATTAAAACTCTCAAGAACAGCTGTTAATGTTGTGCTCTGCCTCTGGTCACTTCCTGTCAGCACCTGTTCTCTACCTCTGGTCACTTCCTGTCAGCACCTGTTCTCTGCCTCTGGTCACTTCCTGTCAGCACCTGTGTGTACGAGCAGACTTAGAGGTGTTTGTTTTCACTTCCTGTCGTCGTCTCCTCCTCTCTCGATCCTCGTCCGTGTTGTTCTGACTCTCTGATGTTTGTCACTTTGGATTAAAGCATCTGATACATGAATTGTATCTCAGGCTACACCTGAGTTCAGAAAAGAAAGATGGCTGTTGCTCCCAGAGACTACATCATTGTAAGGAGTCAGCTGATTGGCTCAGACCGATTCTTGAATATAATGATGCATTAAGGTGAAACCGCGAGCAACAACGTGTCCCTCAAACAGTGTCTACAGGTGGTTGTGTACTTTGTTTTTGTGGGTATTTTAGTCTGAAGTCTTCAGGTGAGAGTGAAGGCTCAGAGGTCAATGTGTCACAGGTCACATGATTTGACCCTGATGTTCAGGTGAGACTGAGACTGAGTTTAACCTGTGGTTGAACTCCCTCACCTGCATGGTGACTGACAGCAGGGAATATTCCACTGTGTGTGTGTGTGTGTGTGTGTGTGTGTGTGTGTGTGTGTGTGTGTGTGTGTGTGTGTGTGTGTGAGAGAGTGTGTAGATAGTTGGTGTGATAAAACGGAGTTGAAGAGTTCAGGGGAGAAACAAAGCCATCAACATGACTTTAATAACAGGCTGTATCACTCACACTCACACACACACACACACACACACACACACACACACACACACACACACACACACACACACACACACACACACACACACACACACACACACCTCAGCTGTTCAGTTAAAGCTCCATATTGTGTCTGTGTGTCTCTTCCCGGTCCACTCGCTCTCATTGACTGATGCAGGTATTCAGTCAGAGGCAGCTCAACCTGGAATCATAAACATGAATCATGTTTGATATTTACCAGATCGGGAGGAGACGACTCAATCAGGATCAGTAAAATAATCGTAGTGACACCACACACTGGAGGATTATTTTGACAAATAATCAGCTGCGACAAGTCTCAAATCAGGCCACACCCCCTTGGTTGTTTGGGAGGGGGGGGGGTGCGCCCCCTTAGCGGTTGTAGACCTCACAAGTCACTGTATAGAAATGATCCAACTTGCTCCGATGGTCTCGTTGGTTCTGTAGTTCATAAAGAATGACCTGAGATTCATTGTACCTGAGGGGGTGATGCTCAGCTCCACCTCAGGGGGGCAGCATTGTGTGGCACTCAAGTCCAGGTTCATGCCCAGGTCCAGCTCAGTCCTTGGGTGCTTTTCAGTGTCAGGATGTTGTGATATTACTTCCATTGTTTGTGGAGCCGTTGTGTCTGTGTGTGGGGGGGTCATGTTCAGGTAACAGGTGAGTCAGTCAGTGCAGTAAGAGGATAATTATCAGTGAGGAGCTTTTAGAGTGACGGCTGCACGATTTACAGACCTGTGAGTCACATCCGGACCTGAACCTGAACCTGAACACACCTCAAAGTCCTGAAACACAAACAGGAACCTTCAACCTGCACGCCATACATCAATGACATCACAGAGACCACCTCCAGGCTTTCACATGGAGCTCCAGGACCTCCGTGTTTTCAGTGTCAGGAACCTAAAACACAAACATGGAGATAAATCACAGCCAGGTCTGAAGTTCAGACCAGGTCTCTGCAGACCCACTGAGGACTCACCTGTCCCTTCCGAGACTGGGACTGCTCCTACTGGATCAAGAATGCTACAGCAAGTCTCTCAAGGTCTAGGTTCAACTCCTGTCCCATATCAGTTTATGTTTTATAACAGAAGAGGAAACGGGGTACAGAGATGACGGGGAATGACAGGAGCCGAGGGTCAGGGTCACACCCGGACCGCAGTGAGGATTTCAGCCTGTGTACATTGTGCGATTAAACCGCTCGGCTCTTTGAATGAATGATTGATGAATGTGTTAATGAGTTAATGACTTCATGATCAGATTTCAGGCCTTCAAAATAAAATAAAATAAAGATGAGTCAACAGGAAGAAGTCAAGGTTTACTTTTTTAACTTAGAAAAATAAACTTAAACCCTTAAAATAATTCTGACTCTGTGTGTGTGTGTGTGTGTGTGTGTGTGTGTGTGCGCGCGCGTGTGTGTGTGCGCGTGTGTGTGAGTGAGGAGGAGGATCTGGAGGGTTGGACCTGCAGCAGGAGGAGGATCACATCAGTCCAGGTCACCTTCTCCTCCTCTCAGCCTCTCTGCCTCTCTCTGCTCCTCTTGGCCCGGCACGGCTCGGCACGCTTTCCCCTGGACCAGGACTCACTCTCACACACACAGGCGGGGACACACAGGCCGGGGACAGGACCAGCAGGCTCCGGGTTCCGGCCGCGGGCTCCCGTCATGCTGGGCGCGGTGAAGATGGAAGGGCACGAGGCTCCGGACTGGAGCGGATACTACAGCGAGGAGGTCGGTCACACTCTGCTCGATTCACTGCCTCTGTGAGGACCGACATTACTCCGGTTACTCCGGGGTCGGTCAGTCCGGGTCGGTCACACACTCCGGGTCGGTCAGTTCTTGTCGGTTACTCCGGGTCGGGCTCAGAAATAGAACTTAGTTGTCGGGATTTCCGGTCAGAGTTGAGGCCGTTAGGAGGAAGTTTAAGAGCCGCGGCTCGTGTTGAAAGTGAAGCTAAAATCATAGAATAATAATTTAATTAATTAATTAATTAAATAAATATATATTATTAAGAATGATGAATTTAAATCTGGAACATGATCAAACTTTCTAAAGTTTCTGCTGGAGATTTATTTAAACACAAAACAATAAAAAGTGTAATTATTTTATATTTGAATGATTTAAATTTGATCTTCAGAGTTTACAGAAACGAAGTTCTGCTCCTTCATTTATAAATTCTGTTATTATTGTTGTTTTCGTGTTTAAATATGAGCCGTTTTTAGGAAGACGCCGCAGGTTAAAAACAGGTGGTGATGATGATTAAAGATGATTAAATAAATATTAAATGTGAGTCTGATGGAGACTCAGAGGTCATTCTCAATAAAGAGATTTAATTCTTTATAAAGAATCATGAACGTCAGCTGATTGAACGGCGCGCGCTCTGAACTCCGTTAGATTTAAATATGATTTTTAGATTATCAGATCATTTATTACATTTAATATTTCACTATTTTATATTTTCTCACACTTAGATGATGATTATTATTAATATTATTATTATTATACTTTTATTTTATGAGCACATTGATGTCTGATGAAATCTGTTTTTTAACTAAACTTATGATTATTATTATTAATATTATTATCATCATCATTATTTACCGGAAACAAAAACATTTATTTTGATGTGAAATCTTTGAAAGTTTTTAAATTAAATAAACATTTTCGTTTTATTCTTTAAATGAATGTAGAATTAAAATGTTGATTTAAAAAGTTAAATTAAAGTTTTAAAGAAAAAATGTTTGAGAGAAGCAGAGACACGGGGAGAGAGAGAGAGAGAGAGAGAGAGAGAGAGGGAGATAGAATAAATAAAATCTAAGAATGTTCTTAAAAAATAAATCAAATAAACAAACTTGATGAACATCGGGGAGCGGAGTCAACCTGAGATCTGTGCTCAGAAATAATAATTCATGATTATACCACATTTTAAATTTAAAATGCCTGTCCGACTGATTATTGTTATTTAAAGATATTTACTTTGGGCCTCTTTGTCTTTATTCGATCGGACGGCTGAAGAGAGACAGGAAGAGTGAGGAGTTGGAGAGAGCAGGTGGGAGGGGGGGGGGGGGGCGTCGGGGCGTCCCCTGACCGTTTATAATAAATCAACTGACTCACCTGACGACCCTCTTCATGATCCGTTATTAGTGATTTAAGGGTTAATTATTACATTTTAATCTTTAATGATTAATTTTAAATGTGTAAAAAAAATCTCCCAGAATGCATCAGAAATGAAGATGAACATACTGTCAGAATTAAAGTCAGTGTGATTTTAAACTGAACAGGGACCGGTTTGCCTTTATGTGACTTCCTGGATCTGGATCAGATCGATATTAAAGAGGAATAAAAACATTTTGTCATTAAACAATCATACAAATAAAGTTTTTATTTGAACCGATCATCAGAAGGTTTGAAGACGTGACGGAGAAATAATCAGGCGATGAGGTGTGAATGTTTCCGTTTGATGATTCTCCATTATCTGTGATTGTGCTGCTGGTCTGGATCCAGGAGTCTGGTCAGTTTGCTTGTTTTAATCATCACGGCAGAGGTCAAAGGTCAAACTGAAAAGTTCCATCTCTAGAGTTAAAAGCTGAAAATTTTCATGAAAAATGAACCCGGTGCCCTGGGTTCAGGTCTAAGAGGATCTGGGTCACCTGACTGACGTTACAGGTTAACAGGCCGGACTCAGTTCAGACACGGTTCACAGCAGGTTCCTGTTCTGCAGCTCATAAAAACAAAGATCACGTCGGACTAAAGACAAAGAGATAATTGACACCAGAGTGAACAGCAGCGGCCGATCGGGGGGAGTGGGAGGGGGAGGGGGATTGCATGGACAGATATTAGTTATACAGTAATTGTAAGTTCAGGTGGTGTCATCACCCCTAACCCTGAGATAATGTGGGACCTCAGACCAGATGTTAGTTACCCCTGACCCCAGCTGTTTCTGTGAGCTGGTCCAGTTCAGTTTCAGGTTCTGGGATTAATCCTGTGAGGGGGATCTTGTGCTGCGTTCCTGACTCGTTTTGGATCTTGGAGCTCGAGCTCTGAGTGCTGCAGATGAGATGTTGTTATGGATCCGATTGTAAAACTTGAGTCATGAGTTACCATGACGAGGTTTGTCCTATGAGCTCTATGATCCAGTCTGACTGTCCCTGATCTGGTTCTGGTTCTAATCTAACGGTCTCTGATTTGGTTCTGGTCTGTCTCTGGTTCTGGTCTAACTGAAAGAAACAAAGTCGCTGAACCGCTGTGGTCTTTGCTCTGCTGTCACTCAGACATGTTGGACTATTTGGTGCTTAATCCAAACCAGAGGTTCTCGACTGGTCCAGCCGCAGAAAACTGGCCTTTTTTTAAGGCACACTGAAAACAGTTCCAGGACCCACTTTTGGGTCCTAACCCACCAGTTGAGAATCACTGGTATAAATAAACCAACCAGCAGAGGCCGGAGAGGTTCAGAGAATAGATTGAGGATGCTTGTGACGTATAATGAGCCACACTTCCTGTTTACATCAGGAAGATTAGAGGTCGTCAGTCTCACATCTAGACCAAGATCTGACCCATCACACAAATGGGAGTGATGGGTCAGGTTCTGGTCTATCGTGTTCTTTTTCTGTTTCTAGGTTTGACAGTCTCTGGGCTCTCTGAAGGTGTAACCCAAATGGTATCAAGTCGACTAAGTTCTGGTCTGACTAATTCTGGATCTGGTTCAGGTCTAATTTTCAATACAAGTGTTTCAAATGAATGCATCTGTTTCATGTTGATGAACTCTGTTCTTATTTGTTCTGGTCCTGGTCCTGGTTCTTGTCCTGGTCTAATGGTCTCTGGTCTCTCTTGCAGATGTACTCTCCAATGGCGGGCAGCGGGATGGGATCTGGTCTTGGGATGGGCTCAATGTCAGGATACATGACCAACAGCGGAACCACGTCGGGATCCTTTAACATGTCGTACAGCGGGACTGGTCTGAGCCCCGCCCCGGTGGGGGGGATGGGCGGCTCAGCCCAGGCAGCCATGTCAGGACTTGGAGGGGGAGTTGCCTCAATGGGCGGGGCTCTGAGCCCGTCCGGTATGAGCTCTGTGTCTGCCCAGCAGGCATCCATGGGTCTGAACCCTTACGGGGGCATTAGTCCCACCATGAGTCCCGGGATGGCGTATGGTGGCGGCGGACTGAACCGTAGCCGTGACAACAAGGCCTTCAGACGGAGCTACCCACATGCCAAACCACCCTACTCCTACATCTCACTCATCACCATGGCGATCCAGCAGGCGCCCAGCAAGATGCTGACCCTGAGCGAGATCTACCAGTGGATCATGGACCTGTTCCCGTACTACAGGCAGAACCAGCAGCGCTGGCAAAACTCCATCCGCCACTCGCTGTCCTTCAACGACTGCTTTGTCAAGGTGTCGCGCTCACCCGACAAACCAGGGAAGGGTTCCTACTGGACCCTGCACCCGGACTCTGGGAACATGTTCGAGAACGGCTGCTACCTACGGCGCCAGAAAAGGTTCAAGTGCGAGAAGAAGATGTCGCCAAAGTCTGACGGCAGGAAGGAGCAGGGGGGAGGAGCCTCTCCCTCTGGGGACTCCATCAAACCTGCTGGACTCTTGGACTCCTCCTCCCTACCCTCCTCCAGCCAGGTGTCTCCTCCTGGCCTGGACCTGCGGGGAGGCGTGGGCGGGGTGTCAGACCTGAAGGTGTCGGGTTCTCAGCTCCTGTCCTCTCTGTCGTTACCTCCCCACGCCATGACACACGAGTCCCAGCTGCACCTGAAGGGAGACCCCCAGTACTCATTTAACCACCCGTTCTCCATCAATAACTTAATGTCGTCCTCGGAGCAGCAGCACAAACTGGACCTGAAGGCCTACGAGGCGCTGCAGTACTCCTCCTACAGTGCTGGGGGGGGCAGCCTCGGGGGGAGGAGCATGGAGTCTCTGGAGGCCTCCTACTACCAGGGGGTCTATCCCAGACCGCTCCTCAACACCTCGTAGTACCCGCTGCACTTCCAGTTTGGACTCTTACTCTGCATGCAGCCGTCCCGGACTTCCTGTCTGACTGTGATCATGCTGAGCCGGATCGACTCGGCTGAACTGGATCGACTCGTCTGATCCCGGGTCGACTCGTCAGCTGGTTCCTGAACTCCTGCACTGTGACCAAACCAGGACTCAAAGAGACTGTCAGCTGTTGAATCTGATCCCAGGTCTGTGTTCTCCTTTTACACACTGAGTCACAAACAACCAAAGATCAGGTCCCAGGTCCAGAAAAAAAGATTTAGTGTTTCAAAATCCACATTAAGACTCTGGACCGTCAGCGGGTCCAGAGTCCAGGAGGTTAGTCTGATGCACTGATCATTTCACACAGACCGCCCCCCAAATCGTAAAACACGACGTAAAAAGAATGACATCGCAGTAAGAGACGTAGCACCAGAGTCCGACAAATTCAGCGTATCAACAAAAGGTATAGCGAACAGAAAACATGACGCAGCGTCATCACATCCGATCCCGACTGCACGCTGAAAACTTACAGAGTCAGGAAAGATACCGAGAATTACGGGGTGTAAAATGTGTCTGTTTGCGTTCCGACATGCAGCTCATCCTGCAAACTTCAGGAAGTTTTCATGAAGTTTTCAGGAGCAGAGATGTCACGTTGATGATCGTTCAGGATGATCTTTTTGGTTTTATGTCAGCTGTCGTTTCGATGGTCAGCAGGTTTCACGACGTTTAGAGAGGAAAAAAAAGACGGAGAATCAGAAACAAACGGATCAGGGGTCAGGGTCCAGACGGGTTACTCAAACATGTCCTGATGTTTAGTTTAAAACATGGAGATGAATCCAAAATGGAAGCCACTCCTAAAAAACGTTTTTATTGTCCATCCACGGGTACAGACCTTCAGAATAAAACTCTGTTTGCTCACAGATGAATATTATTATGAGTTTGTTTGTTTTCGTTGCTGAAATGTTGCCAACGTATTTCTTTAATTTAGACGATGCTCTGTCTCTCTCCCTCCCCTCTCTCTCTCTCTCTCTCTCTCTGATCTGAAGTTCATAAATATTACAGAGATATCGTTTAGACAATCTTTACTGCAACATCATGGATCAAAGTGTGTCCTCTCAGAGTTCTTTTTGTCCCTCACAGGCTCAGGTAGTGTGAGACATCATTACAGAAAGGATCCTCACACAGATCTTTTAGTTTGAACCTCAAAGAGCTGTGACATCACTCTCTACAAAACGCCACATTCACAAACACTGATTTTACTGACCAGGTCACGGGAGCTGGTGGTCAGCTGCGGCCGTTACACAAAGTTTCTTTGTATTAAAAATTGTTTGTATTTTAAAAGTAAAAAAGAAAAGAAAGTAGAAAAGAAAAGTGATGTCAGAGGTCCCTGAACCGCAGGTTGAAGACCCTCGTTTTAAATTTGAAAAGACACAGGTCTTTGAGGTATTGTCTCCTCGTGTGTTACAGGTCAAAAGGTCACCTGTGGCCGGTGATGTGGTTGTCATGGCGACAGATTAATTCGACTGATTTTCTAATCAGAAAATATGACGAAACGTTTATTTCTCCCACGACCTCGTCTGCCCTCCGGACGACCCGCTGAGGGGTCATGACCCTCAGATAGAGACACACACACACACACACACACACACACGCACACACACGCACACACACATACATACACACACAGATCAAAGGGCTTTTTTTTAAGGGTCACTTCACTTGAATAAAACAGACATCTTTCCCGCCTCTCTTTTGTCTGATCTGTGGTCAGTTTCGCGGCGTCTCGTCTTTTCTCCGTCGATTGTCGATCTATTATCCGGTCTGATTCACACGACGATGATCCTGATGAATTATTCCACATCAAACAAAACTTTGACAAATAAAAAAAGGAAAAACAAACTTCACGGGAGAAAAGAAACTAAATGTATCTCAAAGTCATAAAAAGACAAATCTTTGAATATTTATATTTCATGGATCAATAAAAATATTAAATTAATAATAAATAAATAATGATGATGATCAGAGTTTTATATTAAACTCTGTACTTTTTAATGTTTGATTTTTATATATGACCGTAAACAAAGAGAGGACGCCTCGACACGACAGAGACAGAATTATAACTTTAATTAAAACTTTTTTAATAAACTGATCAGCTTGATTTCAATAAAGCACATGTTCATATTTATCAGACCTGTCATTTAAATAAATCATTCATTTAATTTGATTTGTGTATCAGCGTGTTTTAGAGAAGACAAAAAGAAACACACACACACACACACACACACACACTTCAGGTTTCATAACCTCCGGTGTCGTTAACAGATCAGAGATGATCGAGTTTCTGTTTAAAGTTCACCTATAAGAAATAACACAAGTGATTAAATAATTTAAACTGGTGGATTTATGAGATCTTTGTTTTCAGAGGATCTTTGTTTGGGGACTCTCACTCTGTGTGTAAAAGGAGAACCCGCCTCTTGTCTGTTTTCACTCCGTGTATTTAAAGTGTCCATCACTGATTATTGATTATTACCATGTGCATGAATGGACCGGAAGTCGTCTCCTCCTCTTCCTCCAACAGGTCTTCAGGAAGGAAGGAGAGAAGGAGGGAAGAAAGGAAGGAAGGAAGGATGTTTAAATGTGTTTAAAGCCCCCCCCCTCTGTGTTTGTTTCTGTCGGATCTGCTGCATGTTCTTCTTCTTCTTCTTCTTAACTTATTCTGTCATTTGGAAAATAAAACCCGGAAACACTGATGAATTTGTTGTTGTTTTTTATTTTGATGTGGTTATACTCAAGCTGAAGATGATTTGAAGATAAATAAACGTGAATAATTTAAAGAGTTAATGAAACATAATCAGCTCTAATGTGGCTCGGTGTGCACGTGTCGGCACTCTGATCTGGAGATACGAGGTGTTCCCTTTCAGGTCGTTTTTATGGTTTCGGATTTTTCAGCTCTGAAATGAAAATGTTTAATTGTTGAGAGGATGAAGAACTGAGGTCAGACCTTCTGAAGAGATTTAATTCTCTATAATTAATAAATCAAACAGATTAAAATGAAACATGAGCACTTTATTTATTTATTCTGAGGACATTAAAGAGTCTGAAGATTCCTCCTTATAGAGGGTTTAATAACGTAATCATTATTATTATTATAATTAAATCATTATGATTATTATGATAAGGGGGGTGGCGGGGGGGGTCGAGGTTTCACGTCACTGAACTTCAAACTGAAATGTTCAGGCCCTAAAAAATATATAAAAACTTCATCATGACTCAAAGTGATTCATTTAGAAACTCACTGCTTATTTATAAAAAAAATGTTTTAAAAGCTGACGGTTTTCATACTGAAATATCTGATTATTTTATTTTATGATTAATGATGATTATAATTTCACTGAGACTTCACGTGCTCCTGCAGGATCAAAGATCTTAAATTAATGAGATGATTTAAAAACAAAGATTTAAAAAAGAATCAAAAAATATATTTTGTAGACTGTTTATTTGGAAATGTCAAAAATATTTATTATGCTTATCATTGTGTTCATGTTGTTTTCATGCTGAAAATTATTATTTTTGTATTATACTTTTTGTTTCTTGCTAATTTCTCCTGCCAGCTCTTATTTTTCTTTCTCCAGAAATTCAATTAATATCTCTTCATTTCTACTAGTACCTCTCTTCTCCGTCTCTCCGTTTGTATCAGAGCACGGACTCGGCTCCGGCCGGCAGCTCTCGGGTCTCGCTCGGCTCTCCCGCCCCTACCTCGAGGCAGAACAAGCCGAACACGGAGCACCTCCTGCGGCCTCTGAGCGCCTCAAAGCGCCGCCGCTGTGTCCGGATTTGGAGCGTCTTTGTCGGCCGTAACCTCCGCCGCCGCTCCATGAACCTGAACACATCCCGACAGATTTCTCTTTGATCTCCAGCTTTTTCACGCTTTTTGGCCGCAGATCCGCGAAATGTCTCTAATGATCCTCTAATTACCCGCCAATTACCCGCCAACATGATCCCCGAAAGGCGACCGGAAGAGCCGAAGAGCCGAGCGGAGCCGAGCGGAGCGCAGACATTTATAACACAATTATTAAATATGAGACCATAGCTTCATTGTTATTATTATTATTATACAAAAATGTTAGTAAAAATACAGGAAATACCCCGCCTTCAAAATAAAAAAAAACCTAATGTTATTTAAAACGAATATTTGCCTTCAGGCCTTTTTTGTCATGATTTGGTCTTATTTAGTTTTGTATTTCAGTATTTAGGTTTCCATGTTTTGCTTTCTCCTGTTCTTCCCTAGTGTTGCTGGTTTTTCCCTTGTGTGTTTCCTAGTTTAGTCTTCAGTGTTTCCTGTGTTATTTTGTAATTTCAAATCCTTATGTGCCTCTCTGTTTTAGTGTGTCTTGATGTTTAACAGTGTCTTCAGTGTTTCATGTAGTTGTCATAGTTGTCCTCAGTGTTTCTTGTCCTGCCTCTGTGTGTTTCCCTCCAGTGTTGATTGCCCTCATTGTCTTCACCTGTGTCGTTAGTCTCACCTGTGTCTGATTACCCCATGTCTATTTAGTCTCTGTGTTTCTTGCCCTCTGTGTCAGTTCATTGTCGTATGTCGGTGTTGTTTGTAGTTATGGCAGATGTTAGTTTTCCTAGTGCTCCCAGTGATTCCTCGTGGCTACCTTTATTACATTTCGTCTTTTCAAGAAAGTAAGTTTTTGTTTAAATAAATATTTTTATTTTTTCATTCTGCACTTGTGTCCAGTTCCTGATTTTCCACACCCGTGACATTTATGTTGATAAAAACATCAGGTGTGATTTATTTAACCTCATTTAATCTATTTATAAGTATATAAATAAATGTATCTGTTTCTTTAAATGTATTTGTATGAAGCCTGAAGGTTTCAAACTTCCGGTTTGTTTTAATCTGTTTTATTTCTGTTGAATTAAAAACAGACAGAGAAGTTTCAAAATAAAAACACGTGTTGTTTGTTCACTTTGTTTGGAATGATGTGAACGAAATTAAACTACATGTAATGAATCGGCAGCTTCTCTCCTGGGTTGAAAGATGATGCTTTAATTATTTCTAATTAACAAATAAAATTAATAAAATGTGATCATGAAACTCATTTAATAAGAAAAGATTGAATTTGTCATCTTGAAATTAAAACTAGAACAAAGTTTCAACGCGATGCGTTCACGGACATCTGGCAGCAGGACATAGGAGCTGCTGCTGGCTGTCTGTGTGTGTTGTGACCTCATGTTTGTGTGATCAGCTGATTTTTTATCGATTTTCTGATGGTGACTTTAACAAACACAGCCATGATTTTATTGTGAAAGGTCACATCTAAAGGCCTGAAATCAGACAAGAAAAAAACATTTTTTGACAGTTTCTGTCAAACCTCACACACACGCACGCACGCGCACAGGTCAGAGTCGAGCCGTGAACTCTTCAGATGAAACCGGATGAAACTAATAAATTAATGTAAACAAGATAAAAACAAATGAAGAAAATAAGTGTTTCCTGTGAACGCGATCATCTCTGAATCTTTGTGAATTTTAATTTGAATCAGAAATGATCAGAAACGACATTTAAATATTTTAATAAACATGAAAATAAAATCAAGCTGAAGAAGTGAAATAAATAAATGTTTTTATTTAAAGGATGAAAACTTCATCGACTCTTTTAAATTAGGTATTCGAATTAATAGAAACTAAGTTTTATTGTGAAAGGATTTCACTTCCTGGTTGAATAAAATAGATCTTGATAAAAGATTCGATGAAGTCGTTGACAAAGATCTTTGATCCATTCAAAGATCTTCGACACGAAGAAAAGATTTGACATCTTTGTGATTTTTTATTAAACAGAAAACATCTTAATTTAATAATTCTAATATTTATAGTTTAATAATAATTCTAATATTTATAGTTTAATAATAATTATAATAGTTTTAATTATTAAAGATTTAAACAGGTCAGGGTTATATTAAAGCAGCTGATCTTTAAATAATTTTAATCTTTATTTCAAAAGGTTGTTTACTCTTTAATTTTAATAATAATACATTTTTATTTTTCTTGCGCTTTTCTAGATAAACCCAAAAAACAAAACAAACACGACGATGAGGTAGTGATGTGAGGGGCAGGACGAGAGACGGTGAAGAGTTGATCTATGATTTTTTTCTGTTTCTGATTTCAATTATAAAAATAACTTTTAGACAAGCGGCCTGAACACAAACGACATTTTATCTCATGATGGCTTAGCGGTTGTGTGGTGCGGCCCGTGTACAGAGGCTGCGGTCACAGGGTTTGAATCCGACCTCGGGCCTTGACAGCACGTCAGCGCTCGCTCTGCTCTCCCTCTCTCTCTTCAACGATCTAATAACCACAAACATTAAAATATAACTTTAAAAATAAGACATTATAATTATTGATTTATTATCTAACAGCTTATTAAACGATGATATTCAAAGATTCAGAACTTTTAAACCTTTTATTTATTATTAAAGATTTTTCTTAAAACTCTTTTCAATCAGAAACATTTAAATTTAATAATTCATCTTTTATCGTCTCTTTGTTTAAATATTTTATTAAAGTAGAAGAGGAAACTCTTTAGATCTAAAGAACAGACTTTATATTTTATGTTGGTCTCTTTGTTGTGACTTACAGATTTAGTTTTTAACCCTTTGATGTCTCTTTGAAGTCTCCGCCCCTTGGTAACAAACAGGTGAGACGGTGGTCACCTGTCCGCTAAACAGGTGAGACGGTGGTCACGTTTCCGGTAAAGTTCACGTCGTGTTTCTGCTGCAGGCTGACCGTAAAAACAGGAAACATGAATCTGACTCGAGGGTCCGGGACTCTCCTCTAACTGGTCCCAGTGCCACCCAGTCTGCTGTAATACGGGCCATATGTTCCCGGCGGGGCCATGCGGGGCTCTCCGGTGGCGGCGGCGGCCCCGGGGCCCCCAGCATCATTTGAGTAAAGCCCCTGGCCGCCTTTTCTCTGCGCTCGCGCCTTATGGAGGAAAATATTGACCACAATGCGGCGGCCCTCTGCCCCTTTCTTCCCCCAGCCTTTCATTCCCCCCACTAGAGAGACGGAGCGGGGTCCCCGGGGCCACTCAGGCCTTTTGATGGGGATTGGAATTAATTATCTCCAATAACACAATTGTGCTCGAGCAACGAAAAGAGCAAAGAAATCCCCTCCAGAATCAGAGAGAGAGAAGAAGAAAAGAGGACGATCAAAGGAGAGTGAGAGAGGGAGAGAGAGAGAGAGAGAGAGAGAGAGAGAGAGAGAGAGAGAGAGAGAGAGAGAGAGCAGCTGCTTCTCCTCTAAATGATCGGGAGGAAGTTTATTAGAGCTTTGTGAGCTCCTAATATGGCTCAGGAGGAGGAGGAGGGGGTCATTCATTGCAGATCGGGACGGGGTGGTGGGTAATTGGCAGCGATGTCACGGTTGTTTTGATTTCAGTAAGAAAGTTGAAACTGTCGTTTGAATCTGATTTAAACTTTAAAAGATTTAAAAATATTTAACAGGGAAATAATTTGTTTTCATACGACAAATCTTAAAGACTCATTAATGTGTAATCAAAAAAAAAAAAAACATGTTGCGGTATTAATGATTAAAATATGAAATTATTT